GACGCTGCTTCCATCTTTTCAGCCCTCGCACCAGAGTCCTGGTGAGTATGGGAGCCCATGACGCCCAGGCCGTTGTTCTCTCCGGGATATCCTGCCTTAGGTCTTTCACCCCGCGTAACTCCGACACATCTAGGTTGGTGATCATTGCAGTGGGCTTCCGGACTGGATGCCCCAGGCCTCCTTGCTCGAAGTGGATCACCTCCAGGTTCTGCAATTCAATCCACCTCCGAAACCAATCCAACTGCCACACCTTGGCCGTATCATCATCTTCGGCCTCAGAGGACGCCCACAAAGCCACGGCAACACCATCATCCGGGATATCCGAAGCTTCACACATAGTCGCTCTTCCCACCTTGGCCACCTCAACAATGAAAACGGACCTTGTCAACAGCTCCACAGTGCTGGTGCGAGGGATCCCACCAATCACTGAAGCAATCCTTCCCGTAGCCGCACCCCATAAAAGCAACTTCATGATCCCCGGTCCTTGACTCCTCAGGTCCAGCGTAGACATCCTTTGAACATCCACATCTAACGTCATTGCTCCATTGTTCTCTGCCGCCTTGAAGGCCTTGTCCCGAGGATCACCACGTCCGCTAAAGAGCTTGACCAACCAGTCTTTATGCACCAACCTCTTCCTCATTCGTCTGTTGAAGCCCAGGTGCATCATCAGTTGCCACGCCTCTTTCAGGTCCTTGGGTAGGTCCGTCACAACCTTGATCAAGTCCTCCCTGGGAACATCACGAAGCCACGGGGCCGACACCAAAGAGCGAAAGCCGTCCTCGAGCAACCCCTCAGCAACATAGCGTCTCATACTCTTTTCCCATTGCTCATCCGCATGAACCTCATTGGCCCTGAGCATGGCCACTCTGGTGGTCTCCGTCTCTCGCTGCAGGCGGTGTAGGTTCTCCTGCTCGATCTCCGCAATCAGCTCTAGGGCTTTTGCCTCATCCACCTCCGGACATCCCGAAGTCGTCTTCAGTGGAATCTCCTTGCCATCCGGAGCCCGCAGGATGCACTTTCGCTTGCACCACCTCAGCTCATATCCCAGCACGTTCACCAAGCTTCCGACTGGCAATATAGTTTGGGACGAAGTTTGTGCTGTGGTAGGCTGCGATAGCAAAGTTCCCGAACGATTCTGCTTCATCCTCGTAGTTCCATCTCCAGCCACCACCACATCAACCTCGGGTGACTCCGTCCATTCCACGGTAGTTGCCTTCCTCAGTGGGTGCGTGGCGCCAGAGTCCACCAGTGCCATCTTCTGCTCATACTTCATCACAGCGCGCTTCAGCATTTTCATTGAAGGGCCAGGTTGCCCAGACCCGCTTTGCTGCTCTGTCATCATTTTCAACACCTGGGCCGCGCTCTTTAGGAACTCATCCATATCCTTGTTGGTTGCCGTAGGCGTAGTCGATGTCGTAGACCCGCTTTGAGCTGAGTCCACAGAAGCTCCCATAGAGACCGAACCCGACGGTGCCGAAGAAGTAGCCGGAGGAACCGGTGGAAGCGTTCCGTCATCTCTTTTTCCTTCTCCCGCTGCTGCTCCCGCCGTAGTAGCACTGCGCACGCGAGGTCCAGCACCGCCCTTTCCATCGTCACCCCGGCGAGGTCCATCACTGCCCGTTGATTTGAGAGGGCAATTTTTCCGCATGTGGCCTTTTCCGCCACATCCCTTGCATCTCTCAGCTCGTTCTTCCTTTGGAATGGCATTCCAGTCATGGGCGTACTTGCAACCACTCCTCTGACAGCCGGTCTCCGACAGATAGAACTTGCATGGCCTTCCCCCTCCAGGAGATTGGGGACTGGCACCTCCTTTTTGAGCGCCTCCTCGTCCAGCGTCCGCGCCCGTAACATTGACATTCTTCACCACTGGCATCGAAGGTCCCGGTCCTTTTCCCCGCCCCCTGTAGGTCAACTGCTCAAACTCACCAAGTAAGTGGCTATGGTATTTCATCACCGTAGCCAAGGTCGGGGCCGCATCCAGGTCCAGACTGTAGCGAAGCACATTTGTCCGGAAGTTCACCTCGTGGTGCTGCGTCAACTGTCCTCTGGCGGTAGCATCCAGACCTCGAAGGAGTATGGACGCGTCTGGCACCTGAAGGCTAAGGTCTTGGGCTCGCTTAAGCCACCGTGCCCACTTGCGTAACGCCTCTACAAGATCAGCTGGCGATCCCGCGGTTCCCGGGCTCTCGAGGGCCTTCAAGACCTGTTGACGTTCCGCTGCTGAGCCAGGCCGATATATGGTGACGATTCGGCCCAGAATTCCCAAAGTGGACCCCAGGCGATTTGCTAACAGCTCTGTTCTCATCACCTCAGGCACTGCTTGCAACAACATGGACACCGCCCTCTTGTCAACTCGATGCCAGCGCGGGTCCTTGAGCTGCGGCGACATGAAGTCCTCGGCCTTGAGCTGCAACTTCTTCACCGCCGAAGCAGTCACGAACTGCTGGTAGAAACAGTCCAGACACCTCATAGTCTCCGTCCACCATGTCGCGCTCCCATTTGTGAGGTCTCCCGTGGGCCCGGAAAGCCCGTGAAGCCAGTCTCCAACGTTGATCGCTGCATACTCGTCCGCCTCTGTGAGCTTTGGGAGTTCTGCTCCCGTGGTCCCCGGACGAATGGTCTCCGGCTTCGTAGCTGCCATACCCAGCTGCATCGTCATCGCCGCCTGAAGCTGGGTCATGCCCTTGAGAAGTGCCTCCATCTGAGATGTGCCCTGCGTTCCTTCGTCCCGCTCTCCTCCTTGACTGGGATCCCGTAGGCCGGCACTGGAACCTGGTGGAACTGAACCTCCTTGCCCATCATGTACGACTGGACCACTGAACATGCCCTGCACATTGCTAGAAGAACGACCCTCCTGCTCACGACTGTGTCCCGAAAGTCCAGGTGGATTGCCTCCGGGTACATAGCTTCTCTCTACAGAAGGACGTCTCCCCCTTGAATTAGACCGGGTCTCCGATCCGTTCCCTTCACTAGGTCGCACTCCCACAAGATCGCCTCCGGATTCACCGTCGCGTACTGATAGTCCCAAAGGATTGCCACCAGATAGGCCGTGATCTCCATCGCCATCCTGCCGCTCAGAACCCCCAAAACGTCCAAGTAGTTCCGAAAGATAACCCCTTGGTTCGCTATGACTCCGGGTCCTTATAGTAGTTCCGCGCTCATCTCCACGACCATCTTGGTTCTCGGGGTTTCCTCGTGCAACTCCATGTAGGCCCGGAGCACTCTCTGGTCCCCGCCCTGCATCCTGTCCACGAGTCCCTCCCGAACCCTGCCGTAGTCCCGGAGACTGAGCCCACGGACCTCTTTCACCCTCCTGCTCACGACTGTGTCCAGAAAGTCCGGGTGGATTGCCTTCGGGTACACGCTCTCCGCTTGCAGAAGTGGCTAGGGTAACCTGCCGCCTCGATGATTCCACCAACGCCTCTCTCGCCTGAGCTCTTGTTCTGTCCAGCTCCAGACGAAGACGCTGATTTTCATCAGACAGCGCCCTTTGGCTTTGCATTGCCTGCTCCACTTGACGCCTCACTTCCAACTCCATCTGCTCTCTGGTGTAGGAAGCTGAAGAATCCGAACCTGCCGCCCTCTGAGTCGTAGAACCATACAGCTGCGGAGCCGCCATAGTCATTTCTCGCAATCTCCGTGCCTGTCCATTCACCGGGAGACCATATCGTCTCTTGGACCACGGTGGTCTCCACTCCCGGCCGTGACTGCTGGGCCACTCTTCGCTGCACATACTCTCCCAACCTTGAAAACCATCGCACCGCATTGGCACCAGGTTGTGCCAGATTGAGTCCACCACTCAAGGATGGAGACTCAACATCTTGCACAGATTGCGTCAACGGCGAAGGCAACGGTGAGGGGAATAAGGATCTTGAAATACCCTCGGGCAAGGCCTCCGGGCTTCCTCCAAGATTCACTGCAGCATGAGGCAGCAACGGCCGATCTTGCTGTTGTGGTTCCGCTGTGGGAGACTGAAAAATCTCATCACTTCTCGCATCCACTACAACTGGCACTCCTTCCACTTCTCCTCGGCCCGGTCGCTCTCGGGTAGCAGCTCCGTCCGCCGTACCATGTCCGGTATTCGTACGTGTCGCGCCGAGTCCGGAGGATCGAAGGGCCTGCACATAGTCCGCGTCCTCTTCCAACGCTCCGCCCACCCGCGGAGTAACGCCGTTGGGAAGCTCCACGCGGGCTCGTCCCCGGTCGGGAACCTGCGCAGCATCGCCACTTGGGCTCATCACCTGCTGGCTTGAATTAGCCGGGCCAGCAAGTGGATCGCGAGGAACTTCACTCATTCGTTAGGCTACTCCCTACATTCAATCGCTCGGGTAGCAGCGCACATCCTTTTTCTTGAGCCATCGCCGTCGGTCGCTTGTACAATTCATCAACGGCTTCTGTCTCTTCGCACATACACTCAACGTTCTGGAAGACATGTGACTTCACTGGGAATCTGCAGCTCCTTCCTTTCGTTTACCTTCTTGGTGTGTGTTGTTCTAGGCCTTTCGATGTAAGTCTCAAACTTGCTGGCTGATTCAGAATCCCCGGATTGCTTCATCTTGCTTCCTAGTCGGAGCCGTCTGTGGATGCAGATGTAGCGTATGCTTGTTAGCTGCACCTTCGCATGAGCTGACTGCGTGTGGAAGGGAATTGGAACCAGTCTGGTTACATCCTAAGCCTTCAAGCCCGCAAGCCTTAAGTAAGCCTTACACCCATTGATATACACCCTGCACCCCGAACCCCGAAGCCTGCACCTTAAACCCTATCCCCTCCTGGCTGTGTAAGCTTTTTCAGAGTGCGGACTGCTGTCTCTGGAGAAAAGGAGTTCAAAAAAAACCTATCCCCCCCTCTCATCTCAACCGCCAAACCCCAGACTTACCGTTGGTTAGTAGGGAATGGAAGAATGGTAGTAATAGTAGTTATAATTGTACCCCATTCCTCCATTCCCTACCTTTGGTAAAGGTAAGCAGACCCCGTCTCAGCGCTGAACGCCGGCTTCTGAGGTTTGTCGGCGCTGCCGCCACCGGATCTTTGGTGCAGGCGCAAGTTCTTTCCAAGGGCTTCTAATAGGGTTTTAGGGTTTAGGGGATTAGGGGTTTAGGGTTTAGGGGTTACCTTTGGTTGTAGGGAATGGAGGAATGGGGTACAATTATAACTACCATTGCTACCATTCTTCCCTAAACCCTAAACCTTAAATCCATAACCACTATTACTACCATTCTTCCGTTCCCTACTAACCAAAGGTAAGTTTCTTTCCAAGGGCTTCTAATTCTATAAACCCTAGACCCTAAGCCCGAATCCCTCATAGAGTTTGGAATTCGGTAGGAGAGTTGGTGCACTTGGGGTCGGACATGGGGAAGTTGTATATCTGAGCCTGAGCCAAAACACAGACCTAATTTAATTTAGGCTTTGTGGGCCAGGGCCTCGACAACGAAACCCTAAACCCTAAAGGGTGCGGGGCTGAAGCTTTCGAGAGGAAGGTGTGCAAGGCTTGGAGTCAAACCGAGATTCAAGGCATAGCGGGTCCTTAGCCGGGAGTTTGGGGCGTAGCGAGACTTCAAGCTTTCTGCGTCTGTTAGCTTTCGCTATGCAAGCGGTCAGCATCTGCAAACACAACCATGCATCCCGAATCTTGACAAGGGAGCTCCCACATCTTGCAGAGCTTTAGGCCTTAAATCCCAGCCACACTTCTCAGCACCTTATATGAACAATGGCAGATCTCACAATAGAAATCCCATTCCCAAGACTCTTAATCCTCACCGCAGCAAGTCGCCCTTGAGGATGACTCACTTGAAAAGCTTGCTACTCCACAAGACGCTTGGCATGGGTTGAGTGGGGCTTAGAGTCTTGGGTTGATAGCCCAAAAAGGCATTCACAGACTCTGAACCTTAATGCCCTGAGCCTTAAGCCCTCAGCCCCGAATCCGAAACACCCCGAGAACATTCAACAGACATTATAAAGCTGAACTAATAATATTTGTATATTCAATTCATTCTTAATCATAAACATAATGTAGAAAGCCCAAGAACCCCAACCCCTGAAAGCCAAAAACCATAAGCCTATAAGCCTCTAACGCGCTTTAGATGTTTCGAGGTTCGACCTCTCCAAGTTTCAAAGGCCAAGGCAAACCCTGGAGCAAATATCCCGCAGATCGGCTTTCGTTGGGGTGTTAGGGCTTAGTAGGCTTCAGGGTGTCAGGGTTTAGGGTTTGAGGTGGGATTGTATAGGGGTTCGGGACTGAGGGTTCGGTCTTGTGAAGGACAGACGGTCAGGGTTTAAGGGGTCCTGTGTGTTGCAGATTCACTTCGCCCCAACCCCGCGGGCCTCCCACACCTCGAAAGCAGAGCACACTAACACCGGTCAACAACAGCCTGACGTATTGCCGACACCTTCCAAACAAGCCCGAAACCCGAAACTCGCAACCCAAACCTGAAACCCTAAGCCCAAAGCCCTAAACCCCTATATGTGTGTCTGTATGTATGTATGTATATATATATATATACATATATATATATATATATATATCTAAACCCCTCAACCCCTAAACCGCAAACCCCAAAACCCTAAACCTTCTCAGGAACCTCTTGGCCAAGTGGAGGGACGTGGAAGGGGCATCCTGTCCACCAGTGCTCGAATGGGTATCGCTTTATGGGTCGCTTGGATCGATCATTTCTTCAGGGTTATTAGGGTTAGGGATTAGGGTTTAGGGTTAAGGGCTAAGTGTTTGGGTTTAATAGGGTTAAGGATTTAGGGTTTAGGGTTTTGGGCTGAGGGCTTAGAGTTTTCAGGGGTTTAGGGTGCAGGGTTGGTTGGGGTTTGGGGTCTAGGGTTTAACAGGGGCTTAAGGCCTACAGGGTTCAGGGTTTCTGGTTGGTGGTCGACTGCATAAATACGGTTTGCAGAGTTTCACTAGAGACCCAAACGGCTAAAGATGCAAGAATTCATGATCACGTGCACGGTGCTACACAACAGTTTTGCCTCTTGGAGGATGTTGCTCAGAGCTTAGCGCAAATCAATACATGGGTCGGCATGCTTAGTGCCAGTATTCCTTCAGGTTCCATAGAAACCATACGTGCATGATCTTTCATGCACACCAAATTCTAGTCTGATTATTAAACTCTCCGTACTACCTTCGGTTTGGCGCGGTGGGGTTGGAAAGTGTTAGGGCTCAGGCCTTCGGGGCGTAGGGGTGTAGGGGTTTAGCGCTATATTTACGAACCTAAGCCCTGTGACAGGTGCAAGTTTTGTGAACTGTTGCCGGCCCCAGGTGGGCTTTTCGCAGTGGTTTGTATGCAGGGGGAAACGAGACCTCGCCAAAAAGCAGCTAAACCTTAACCTGAGCCTCAAGCCCAAAGTGTTTAGGGTCTCTGCCGTTCGTCTTGGCACTTCCCCTTTCTCCAGTCTTGGCTCTTCCTGAGTCACGCAAGCGCAAAATCTCAAAGCCCTGTCCCCGAAAGCTTGTGGCCGAGACTCCAAAACTTAAAGCCCCTTAGGCCTCAGGACATCAACCTGAACATTGAAGTTGAAGGCCCATAACTCCGTTTGCATCACAAGCCTTTGGCAGTTGTGCAGGAACCCAATCACAAGCCAACCTGAGTACCAGGCACCGGTTTTGGACCAACGGTTCGGGTTGAGGCGTAGGCGTAGTCGTTTGGCTTGAAGTTGAGTATGAGGCGAAATTAAGACTAGGTAAAGGCATCACGCATGTGTTAGTGCGGCGCCTTGAGAGGAGTACAGCATTTAGTGCTGTGGAACATGCGTGGTTCGGATGGATCACAAACCGTGCAGTCATTGTTGCAAGATATTCTGAGATGGGTAGCGTGCAACTTTGGGTGTTCTACTCAACTACCAAGGCCTCTACATTGGTGTTGCTGCCTTGGTAAGTGCTGTTCGGCGATTGTGTACACGGCCCTCAGCCACAGGGTCTCCCGCGCAGAACTCCAAACCTTAGACTCAGACGCCTCAATGCTAATCACCGAAACACAGGTCGGTTCGGAAGTTCTGTCATTTGAGTATAGGACTAATAGTATAGGGGCCTTAATAATTACCAAGACTATTTTGGAGGTACCTTACTATTTAAAAAACTATAGTATAATGGGCCCTTAAACCCTATTATGCAACCCACGATACTTGGGAATTTTTTTGGAGCGCCTCAAAGAGCAGGCTAGTCAGATTTTTGGGCGTGGCATCCTCTTGCAGCACCTTGCCCCAAACCTTCGAATTAACAACACCCCTACATCCTTAAACCCTGGCGGAACGCTGATCGGATCCTTATAGAACCTTTGACCCTATGCTAACTATTACTAAGTTTGGCCCAGTCTTGCGAGTCCTACGTGCTGAACATCGCCAAGTCTCTGGTTGCCTTGGACCTCCGAGTCCTGACGGACGAGGAGCCTCTCTTGAGGAGTTTAGGGGTTTATATAAGGTTGAGGGTTTAGGGGTTTAGGGGTTTATATAAGGTTTAGGGTTCAGGGTTTAGGGGTTTATATAAGGTTTAGGGTTTAGGGGTTTAGGGTTTAGGGTTTAGGGCTCCTCTGCTACTACTGGTTCCCACAACGGTCCGATGAGGCAGCTTTAAGTTTCCTGAGGGAATCGTCGCAGCTGCGGTACAGATTCTCTTGGGGAGCTCGCGCCAATAAAGGGGCCTGAAAAAATGCCAATACTATTTTGGGGGTGCCTTATTGAAATTATGGTAGAATGGGCTCCAAAGCCCTATTCTAATCATTAAGGCCCCTAAACCGGGAGTATCAGGGCAAAACATCACCAATTGGCAAGACCTCTCTTTCGCAAGCCTTCCACACTAAATCGTAATCCAAACGTGCCGATCTCCAGTTCTTCCCGAATGCCAAGCCACGAGTCTTTTTGATATGGAGGTAGTTCTAAGGTTGACATTCCTTTGAAGGTACTTATGTTGAAGGTGGCTGCTTACATGAGGGGTCGTACATCTTCCTTCTACACCCCTAGATGCTGAGCCCGAAATCGTAAACCTTGAACCCTCAATCCCGAATCCCAGCCAGCCGATTGAGTGAAGCCCGGAAACACTAGACATCTTGATCTTTGAGTACTCAAGAAGTTTTCGGCTGGTGAGTATGACTCTATGATAAGATACCCCCCCTCAGGGGAAAAATCTTGATTATGTGAAATATAGAGGCCTTAATATTTATCGGGGCCCATTATACTGTTCTTCTAACTTTTACTCCAGCAGGCCATGCATGACTCCAGCAGGAGCACTTCGGCTCGGTCGGGTCGGGCTCAGACGGCGCCGATGGGCACATCAACAAGAAGAAGCCCGGTTCTTGCTTGTCTCTTTATGCGAAGGAGGTTTAGGGTTTAGGGTTTGTGCGGGGGGGGGGGGGGTTGTTGTTTCCTTATGCTTTTGTGATTGCAGCCTGCTTAAAGATCAAGCATCCGAGCTTGCTCCAACCTTGCTGAGATGGGCTCGGGGCCTGGAGGTTTCCGGATGGATATAGATATATCGTGAATATAGAGTGAGAGTGTGTGTATGTCTGTAAATAAACAATTAAATAGATAGAAATATATATGTATATATACACATACACACACATATACATATACATTTATGTATATGCATGTGTGTGTGTGTGCGCGTGTAACGACACTTTCGTGAACGCAAACATTAAGTCTGCAGTTTTTTGCGCCGGCTTTAGGACGGCTTAGGGTTTCAATTTTTCGGGCAGGTTTGCTCCAGCATGGAGCCTTTCAGAATCGGCTTGCCTGTTGTCAATACAAAGCGCTCTGCCCCAAAGCCTCAGCCCCGCAACCCCGAGCTCTAAAACACCCCGAGCTGCCAAACCCCAAAACCCTGCAACCTCAACCATGCAATCCGGAAGTTTTAACCCTAAACCCTAAACCCTGAACCATACTGCTTTGCATTTAAAAGCAAGAACCATACTGCTGTGGAGAAAGGGGCTAGTGCACTTAAAAGAATAAAACCACCGTGAACCAATCCGGAAGAAGTTTAATCAATACCCAACCAAAGACAGCCCCAACCTGTGGCTCTCCCCGATCCACCACCCCAGCGCGCCTCAATGATCCAGTTGTATGAGCTTGGGATCTGGAGTTTTAGGGTAGCAGGGTTCCGGTTTTCTCGGGTTTGGATTTTTGAAATTTACAGCAGTTAGTGGGACTTCCGATGTTGAAGGTCCCGTTTCCGGATGCTGTGAGACTGGAGATCCGAGGTACCTAAGCCATTGAACCTCCAGACCTCGTTTGGGTCTGGGGTTTCAGGACCCAGGGTTTTAGGGTTCCAGGCTCCTTGGGTTACTGGTTTAGAGTTTTAGCGTTTTGTGGTTTTGGGGTGATGGCCCTAAATTCTACTTGGAGGTTCATGGGTAGTTATAAGTAGGGTTATAAGTCCCAATATGAGTTATAAGTACAGTGTAGCTACCCTACTTATATCCCTACTTACAACTACCCATGAACCTCCAAGTATGGATTCCCTGAACCCAAACTGCTAGTCCCAGACCTCGCCAGGCCGGTCTTGCAAGTCAAGAAGACCCACTCGAACTTGGGCGGCGCCGACGCTAGGTTGGACATGAGGAATACTACTCTTCGTAGGCCCTTCGGGACCTTGTAAAATTTTCCATCTGATATAGGGCCGCAGAGGATCTTATTTTCTTTGTTCAAAGGCTTTGAAGGGCCACCGCAGCACTTGTACTATGGAACCATCCACGCTACAACACTGCGTATGGGTGCCGGGCCGCCGCAGTTTCTCAATTTATTCGTGGATTCCCATTCACAGTAGCCTGCACATGCATACACTTTCTCTCAGAATTGCCGGAAGAACTTAGGCAAGTAGGTGGGTTATTGGGATTGGTGCAGGAGTTTGTAGGGGTATTAAATAACATCCTAAGCCAAACACCCCAGACCTAAACTCTAAACACCCAAAAACCCTAAACCCCAAAACTTGAACGCCCTAAACCCCGAAAGCTCGAAACCCTAAAGCCTAAACTTCAAACCCTCAGCCCTTAGCTCCTAGACCCTAAACTCCTAGACCCTAAACTCTTAAACCCTAAGCTCTTCAACCTTAAAGGGAACTCCAGAAAGTTGGAATATGGTTTCAGGGCAGGATACCTTATAGTTTACCATAAAGGGTTTAGGATAATCATATTCCAACTTTCTGGCTACTACTTTAGGGGGACCCCAATATAGTACCCCAGATAGTAGGGTCCTTATTCTAAGGACCCCAAAATAATGCACCCCTAATTTTCCGACTTTATTGGGCCTCGGTTCTTATTCCAACTTTCTTTCTTTTACCTTAAACCCAAACCCCTAAACCCTAAACCCTAAACCCTAAACCCTAAACCCTAAACCCTAAACCCTAAACTTTTACTTTAAACTAAACAGAAACCCACTGTGAGCTGACGAGCCGAGGAAAGTTTCAAGCGCTTTGCAGCCAACAGCGAGGCAACGATCCCGTCTTATGGATGGGTTTAGGGTTTAGGAGTTTAGTTATTTTTCGGGTTTAGGAGTTTAGTTAATTTCCGGGTTTAGGAGTTCAGTTAATTTCCGGGTTTAGGAGTTTAGTTAATTTTCGGGTTTCGGGTTTTGGAGTTTAGTTTTTTTTCCGGGTTTAGGAGTTTAGTTAATTTTCGGGTTTCGGGTTTAGGAGTTTAGTTTGTTTTTGGGTTTTGGAGTTTAGTTTGTTAAGGGTTTAGGAGTTTAGTTTATTTTAGGGTTTAGGAGTTTCGGGTTTGCACGCGTTTGGGGTTGGGGGGAACCCATGGCCTTTGAACTTGAGCCTCAAATCTGAACTTAAACCTTAAACTCAAAACTTATCCGCTGAGCCCAAACCTCAAACCCTGGCCCTATGTATAGGCATTGAGTTCAATGGCTTGGGCGGCTTCAAAGAGGCAGAGCTTCGGGTGAACGATCAGCAACAGCAGCATTCCATTCCAAAACCTTAAACCGAAATCCTAAACCCGAAGCCGAAATCCTAAACCCGAAACCCTAAACCCTAAACCCGAAACCGAAATCCTAAACCCGAAACCCTAAACCCTAAACCCGAAGCCCTAAACCCTAAACCCTAACCCTGAACCCTAAACCCTAAACCCCAGGAACCTGATACGTAGTGCTTCGGGTTTCACGGTTTACGGCATTTTTTCGGATCGAGAGTTCAAGGCTTGTGGGATTTACTGTCAGGTTCTTACTATGGGGGGACCGTAAAGGGACTACTATAGGGATGCATTCCCGCATTCCTTTCTAAGCACCGGGGAGTTTGTAGGGTTTACCTGAACCCGGAAGAACCTACCTTTCTGGGGACATGTATAAGGAAATCAGAAGAAGGAACCCTAGGAGCGTAGGTTCTTCAGGGTCCATGTAAGGTTTGAGAGTTTAGCATTAGAAGGGGCCCCACCCTGTAATAGTGCTATAATAGGAATATATTAGGGCCCTAATATAACCCTTATAGTCACTGTTACAGGGTGGGGGCAGCTTCTAAGTTTAGCATTTCGTGCGTGGGGTCTGGAAACCTCCGGGTGCCCATTGGCAAGGCTTCATGGCTCAGGGCGTGAGAGTACTTTTGGGGGCCTGACCTACACTACCTTTTTGGGGTTCCTTGTTAGAGCTATGGCATAATATGCCCCAAAACCCTATATTCTAATTATTAAGGCCCCAACATTGGGGATGTAGGGCTTGGTGAGGCCTTCGGATTGCTGTCTCGCAGAGCTGTAGCATTCGGTGATCTTCGTGGTTCTTGGGTTCTGAAAGCGTGCAAAAGACCCGCAGTTTCAGAAAACCTTATGTCTTATGAAAGCTCCTCAAATCCTAGGGTGGAGGGTCTCGCCTCAGAGCCCTAAGCCCGAAAGGCCAGCGCGATCCTCTTCCGCGAGAAGCCCCTGCCTTCTCCGCTGTCAGCGTCTGCTTTGCTGAAAGAGGCGGTTTGGGCGTCAGAGGGTTAAGGTTAAGAGCTTAGGGTGTAGGGTCCAGGGTGTATTGCCGAGGTTTAGAGTTTAAAGGCTTTTGATCTGCACTCGGGAAGTCTTCTGTAGGGAGCTCTGAAATGGCTTCACATTTGGGATGTGGGGTTCCGGGCTTGGGCAGCACGGCCCTGGTGTAGGGGTTCGGACGGAAGCGCGCAATGCCGGCCTTTGACCCAGAACGTTGCACCCTAAAGCGTGAATCCGGGCAGAATAGCGATTTCATGCTTCCCTGCTTTCTTCTGCAGGCCGCAGACGAGCATGGCCCTCAGTGTCAGAAGACGGTTTGCTGCACTGAGGTGTAGCGTTTAGAGCTAGGGCTTAAAGTTGAGGGTGCGGGGTTTGGGGCCAGGGTTTGGGGGTTAGGGTTCAGCGTTCGGGGTTGAGGGCCTCGGATTTCGGGCACAGCATTCATTGTTAGGCGTTTACAGTAGGGTTTAAAGTAATGTAGACGTCATCATTTCGGCATTTTTCCTTCTTCGATTCCTGGTCATTGTTTTTTTCAGCGGCGTGTAGTGTAGGCGTCCTTGTGAGGATGGTCTTATTTGAGGTTTATTTTAGGTCAAGGAAGATTCCTCTCGAATTTTCTACATCTATCCAAGGGATAAAGGAGGGAGCCTTAATAAGGACCCCCAGGTATATACCCCTAATATAGCTATTATATACTTATACACATTATATAGCCCATTATAGGGTAGGGGTCCCCATTAAGGGTCCCTCCTTTTCCCCATTGAATCTAGCTAGTAGCCCCTTTCCACTTCTCCACCTTACGAGTTCATCCCACTCCTCATCTTACAAAGCCTGCTTCCTCAGTTCCAAGATCCCTACAGCTCTTCGGTTGATGATATAAATCCTGCATTACCATTATAAAGAATGTACCACAATTCCCATAGTTTAGGGTCCTTAAGGTAATGCAGGATTTATATCATCAACAGTTACGGTTCAGCATGAGAGCCCTGCCGAGCTTCACGAACGCTTCCAGGCTCCGGCAGCTCTACACCAAGTCGGCCTACTGCAGCCAGGGGCCTGGCTGTACCCTAAACCCTATAACCCTAAACCCTAAACTAAACCCTAAACCCTAAACCCTAAATGTCTCCGAAGAGTTGGGTCAGGTTTACAGTAGAAGCTTAAAAGTTGGAAACCCAATAGCCTCAATCCTTAAGAGTAATGTATAAGGAATCCCAGCACTATTTGGCCTTAATCCGGTTTCCATTTTTATGGGGTTTACTGTAGGGTTTGGGGCATAGGGTTTAGGATTCAGTGATGAGGCTTACAGCCGTAGGGTTTCAGGGTTAGGGTTCAGGGTTTACGGCCGGTTAGGGCTTTTACGGATTAGGGTGTGGCGTTCAGGATTTAGGGTTTAGGCTTACTGGCCCCGGGTTTTCAGGGCGTAGGGTTTTAAGGGGGTCACTGACATGTTCTGGTGATTGTGCTAAGTTCTTAGGGTATCTTGTAGTATTACAGGGGCCACAAGGGATACTCTTACTCGCTATTCCGACCGCTATATACTAGAAGTGTTCAGGTTCGCTGCATGCTTTGGACTTTCAGAAGCTGCTGCCTATCGTACTAGAACCCCCACCCCCCAAACCCTCAACCTCCAACCCTAAACCCTACACACACAGAAATCTCAACTCCTATCCCCTCCTGTCCCGTCATGTCCCATCATGTCCCATCTTAAACCCAAACCTTGTTAAATCCTGAACCACTGCCTGGCTCTGAAAGGCTTCCTCAGATTCTGGGCCACATGGGGTCCGATGAGTTGCAGAATCAGGGTTGACTGTTTTGGGTTTAGAGTCTAAGCTTTAGGGCCTTGGGGTTATGTGTTTGCGTTTGAAGGCTTCAGGCTTGCTTTTGTTTGTTCGGGCTGGGCGTTTGGTCCGGTATCTTGATCTCAAGAATCAAGCGAAAGCCGCACTCAACGATATTTCTCCCCGGAGTTTCTTGATAACTCCGTCATCTTGAATCCTAAACCCTAAACCCTGGCTTGGAATGAGAAGAAGGTCCCTGAAACTGCCGAGCAACATGAAAATTTCTCACGATCTTTGCGGCGAGACTGGGTACGACTGGAACAGCTTTGGGTTTTTGGCGTTTTGCGAGTCTCGGGCTTAGGGTAAGCTTGACCGTTTCTTGAGCGGGGCTATGGAAGATGCTGGAATCACGACATCTGCGACAGGTGCCGCGTTCGCCATACAAGGGGGCTGGAGGGTGTGGGCCTGAGATGCCACGGCTTAGGCTTTCGGCAGTGCTGTGGACAACGAGAGTGACAGGGCTTCCCGTCTTCCGAGCACATGAGGATTTGAGAAGGAAGGTTTGGGTCTGGGGTTTAGGGATGTTTTGGGCCTTTGACAAAGCAAAGTAACAGGAATTCAGTTCGGGTAGGAGTGAGACTCCAGCAACAGCCCAAAGTTCCACTGTGTGCCACTAGGATATACAGCTGCAGCATCTTGCGGCCTGGCATATCTACCGTATAAGGGCCATATATCTACCGTTGTAGTTTATTAAGGCCCTTTTGTACCGTTCGTTATAGTACAAAGGGCCATGTGGGAGTTTCCGAAAATAGAGGGACCCTGATAGATTACCCTATAAATAGTAGGATCCTTATTATAGGGACCCAAAAATGAGGTACACAGTACCCCTAATTTTGGGAAATTTTAAAAACCTTATAGAGCCCTTTAAAGGAGCCCTTATAGTACCGTTATAGTAACCCTTTAAAGGAACCCTAAGGTACCCCTAATTTTCGGAAACTCCCATGTCTATCAGTCAGGTTGGTCTTCTGGGGCTATCGCACGCCATGAGCCGGTCCAAAACCCCAGGGGCCAGGACCCCAAGCGTAAATCCAAGAGCCTCAAGAAACCCACACCGAAGAAGAAGGCCGAAAAAGCCTCAGCTTCCGAATTCCCAAACAGCTCATACAGCACCATGTGTGACTCCGCAGGTCTATAAAGCGCGATCGTTGAAGGAGCTTATTGAGCATCGGGGTTCAGGGCTTGCTATAGGGGCCTATAAATGGTTACCAATACTATTCCTTGGGGTTCCTTTAAAGGGGGAAACAGAATTGCGGGGCTCCGTGTTGCAATCATAGTATAAGGGGCCCCAAACCTTGTTCTAATGTGTTAGTTTAGTGCTCTCCGTGTTCGGGCACCCCAAACCCTGAACCCTTACCCCTATGTAGCCCCTTGCCCTTAAGCCTCGACTCTAAACTCGGAATCCTACCTTAACCTACCCAAAACCTACTTTTTTCTAGGGTCCCTATAAATTCCGTATTAGGGCTTGTAATAAGAACCTACAAAAAGGTAGGGTTTGGTAGTTTAAGCCAGGCCCAAGCTGCTTTAAGGTTCAGGGCTTTGGGAGTCTAGTGCTCCGGAGTTCGCATCGGCCTTGTCCCCTCAACCCCTACTTTTTTGTGGTTCAGCTCCGAGCTGCTCTAGAAGCCCATATAAAGCGTAAAACCCTCCTAAACCCGACCTTAAGCCGGAATAACCTACCTTTTTAGGGTTCCGTATTATGATTTCCTTATATATAAGTCCTTAAAAAAGGTAGGTTATTCCGGCTTAAGGTAAAGCCACCAACCTGAGCCCTGAACCCTCAACTTATCAACCCAGGGCGTCCGAGGCTCAAGGGCTCAGGCGTCTGGGATTCTAGGGCGTCTATGGCGGATTTCAGACTCCGACCTGAGGATTCGCGGTTTCATGGGGTGAACGTTTGGGGTTTAGTGCCGAAGCCTCGGTGTTTGGGGTTCAGGGTGAAGCCTTCAGGTTCGAGGAGCTAAGAGGGGCAGCCGGGCCGTTGGGCAGGTGGCTTTGAGAGCTTTGTGGTTGTGTTTTGCTTGGGGTCTTCAGAGTTTTGTCGTTGGGTAGTTCTCTGGGACGTAGGCGGCATCCTAGAAGACATCCCGGCAGAGGTGCTTTTCTTGAGATTGCCGTGTTTTGTATGGTTGATCGATGCCGAGCGTAGCACAGGTACTAGTGCTTGTGCGGAGCGAAGCACGGCAACATTACGACTTCATTCAGATTCGAGTTTCAGGGTTGAGAAACCTACATCGTTGTTATGGTCATTCTCATTAGTATGATTTTCCATATTACTCTTCTTACCATTGAAATCCTAGTCTGCTTAAGTTTCCCAGGTCAGGCCCTTGAGGGCCAGAAAGCGAATTCCCAGAGCCCAATCCTCCGCCCGGGGCTTTGCAGCCGTAGCCTTAGATCCGGTGCCTTATCATCATAATCATAGGCCTTATAATGATTACCTATACTAGTTTGGGCATTCCTTATTGTAGTTATTGCATAATACACCCCCAAAGCCCTATTCTAAATTATTGAGGCCCCTATATGACACATACTGAAAATCACAATAGTACTAACGTAGTAGCGACAGCAACCAGTAATAGCAGCACCACTCACAATCATAACCATCATCAACGTAAGAAGCCTTTCATCCGACTCATCCCAAGCCCGATCTTCGAGCTCCGGTGCCCCAAGTTTCGAAGCCCGGAGCCAGAACTCCCATGCCTTGCTTGGAGGACCAGCTTCAGGCAAGGAAGGAGAACAGTGCCATTATGCCAGCTCCTTATGTATTCGGTTTCGAGAAGTGTAGGTGTGGCAAGTGGGCTTCAGGTTCAGTTGTAGCTTGGTTTAGGGTTATGCTTGGGGCGAAGAACTGTCTGTTTTTATTGCGGAGATGCTAAGACCATGCGGTCATGCGTGTGTGCAGTGTGGAGAAACGCATGTTGAAGACTGCCTCTCCTATCCAGTGCCGGGTCTTGCCAGTACCCAAAGGCCCAGGCTCCAAAGTAGTTCCTTTTTGGGATTACCTTATAGGATTCTAAATACGAGCCCCAAAAAGGAACTACGATGGAGCCTCTAGGTACTGCAACAAATGAGGCGATCGGCGAGGTTAGCATGAGCACGAAGCACCGATATGCCGATATGTACGAAAATCTACGACAGAAATCTGCCAGTACCCAGAGGCTCCATAGTAGTTCCTTTTGGGGACTAGCTTATCGAATTCTATATATGAATCCCAAAAAGGAACTACTATGGAGCCGGGTAGAGGAGCACATACTTCGAGACCTGCGCCGAGTCAGCCTTCTGCCCAAAGCCCTTATAAGGCCTTAGGTTCCCATGAGAGTTTTGGTTCGGACCGAGGCTTCAGAAGTGTGCCCGGAAGTTCTTGTGGAAGAGGCAAATGCAAACGCCCAGGGCTCGGAGAACTTGGTCGGGGGGGGGGGGGGGGGGGATTCTGACAGTGTTGGCGTTGTTCAGTTCGGTATTTGTAGGGGCATCCGGTTTGATGTGCTGCCTGCAACTCGAGTTTGTTAGATACGCCTTTGTTTGGGGCCACGGCAAGCTTTCCACGGCTTTTTCGTCGAACGATGGCAGTGACACGCACCTGTGGAACCCTGGCCTCAACCACAAACGCTCAACCTCATTCCGAAAACGCTCAGACCTTTAGCTGGCTATGCAGCTCATGCAGGACCCTTATTTTGAACCTTTAAGCCTGAACATGCAGATCTAAAGCCTTATTTACCCTTAAACCCATAGCCCCTAAACCCCTAAGCCAACCCGTAAATCCCAAAACCCCAAAAACCTGAACCCTAGACCACAAACCCTTAAACCCTAAACCCAAATCCTACAGCCTGAAGCCCCAAAGCGACTGCCCAGGTATGTGCAGAATTTCCTGGCGGAGGAAGAAGGATTGGATCTCCTTCTCAATGCCAAGGAGACACCAGCGCGAAGGGTGCAGGGTTCAGGGTTTAAGAGTTTAGGGTTTCAGGGTTTGGGGTGTTAATTATGGCTCAGGGTTCATGTTCAGGGGAGGATGGCACAAGCTTCCTGTTTGCCGCTCCTTCTGCTGTTCGCTTTGTTGCACTCTCTGCAGCAGTCCGGTGACAAACGAGGTTCAGGTTTCCTTCCGAGTGTAGGCGTAGGCTTTAGGAAATCGGGATTAGGGTTCAGGGTTTCTTTATTTCGGTGGTTCAAACCCTAAAGCCTACGAGTTACGGCCTCAAGTTCAGGGTTATTGGCTTCGCGTTTGGGGACAAGATTCAGGCTTGCCCTGGGATCTTGCGGCGTGGGAGTGGGGTGCAGGTTTCAGCAGTACAAGTACAAGGCCTCAAGGATTAGAATAGGGTTTTTGACAGCTCTAGAACACATGTAGTACCAAGCCCATGCAGGGAATGAATGGGTTTTGGGCTTTCAGAACTAAAGGGTACTTTATCGGAACCCCCTTAAGGGATCTACTTTTTGGATCCTCCCGGGAGTGCACTTCAAGGCTTTGGGAGGTGGTGTTCTGCTGAGGGTCTGCATTTGAGGCTCAGGATCGGGGCTGGGATCCGGGCTTAGGCTTTGCAGCTAAGTCAGCATCTATGAGGCTATAGAGCTTAAGTTTTAGGGTTTAGGGTTTACTATGCTTTAGCCTCCGCGATGAAGCCTTGCATCTAGAGCGCCCAAGAGGGTTTCGGATCGGAGTTCATAGCTGGCGATTCGCAGGCTGATGCAGAATGACTACTGGCAAACTGTGCCCGTGCCACCTGTTCGGATGCGGGGTGTAAGAAGGCCGTGAACCGTTTCCTCCAACATGAGCCCTGATCCCAAAAGCCCTAATTCCTATAGTGACAATGAGCACCACAAGTTTTGAAGCGCCATTCAGCAACTCTACAAGATCACTTAGAAGCTGCCCCCACCCTGTAATAGTGACTATAAGGATTATAGTAGGGCCTTATTATAGTCCTATTATACCACTATTACAGGGTGGGGGCCCCTTCTAAAAGATCACTCTTCTGTATCTGGGGGCTTCAGAAAATGAGAGACCCCAGGTTGAAAATGTAAGTACTGGATGAATCCTTGTCGATTTAACCCTGAAGCCTGAAGCCCAAATGCATATTAATATAGGGGCCTCAACAATTACCTATTCTATTGTGGGGGTCCTTATTATTATCCTAATATTAGTGGCCCCCAAAACCCTATGCTACTTCTTAAGGCCCCTATATTAGTGCCCATGTTTTCCGAAACACCCAATCGAAGCCCTGGTCTGCGGGCACCCTCTCTCAGGAGATGTTGACACTCCGTGCTTCCAAGCTGATCGAGCTGGAGTCTTAAGGTTGCTATCGAGGTCTTAATTCTTACAACAGGGTTTTGGGGGATTTTGTAGTAGAAATCTCCGTGGCTGTAAGGGAAGATTATGATTCTTGGTAACTTAAGATTTGTCGGGACATGGAGATAGTCCTGTCGGTATCCGGAAGTCATGTGACTTTTGCTTGGGAATCGGTGCAGGTTGTCTTCCCTAACTGCAGCGCTACTGTGTGTGGCAATGCTTTCTGTTCATGGCTGGTGGACATGGCCCAAAACCCTAAACCCTAGGATGGTCCCCGTACTATCCGAGAACCACGGGGTCGGAAGTAGGAATTGGGGCCGCCGGTAAGCAAGGCGACATCCTCGTCAGCATGCAACAGCCCCGTAAGACAGGAAGTCCGAAACTCTTTCGAAATTCCCAAGCCCGTCAATTTGATAAAGGCTGCATAATATTAAGTAAAATAAGGGAAATGCACCAGGTAGGATATCTATAAAAATTATAATATTATACCAGACCATTATCTCCAGTCCGCTGTCCCCAGACCAATATCCCCAGACCCTCATCCCGACAAAAACCCTCAGCCCCACTGTAAACCCTTTGTCCCTAAACCTCAGCCCTACACGTCCCCCAACCTCCAGACCGTAAAGCGTAAGCCAAAACGATCCCGAAATCCGGGACCCCCAGACCCTAGACTCTAGACCCAAACTCCCATCAAGAAGGTTTAGGGTTTCAGAAGGCCTAATGGCATTCAACCGGTACGAGTGCGACGGAACGGCCGATACAAGTACAAACACCTCCTAGAACCTTCAACGCCCCCAATGCCCTCATAAAGCCCTATCCATCCTTACTGGAAGCCCTGGTGGAAGACTAAACCCTAAACCCTTAACCCTTCTCTGAGGTCTTCCGTCAGACGCTGGGTGCGAAGGAGAAAGGAGCGACGTACCGTGCGCCAGGCCGGGAAGCAGAAGAGACAGCAGAGAGAGAGCGAGTTTAAGAGTTTAGGGTTAAGGGCTTTGGGGTTTGGGGTTTAGGGTTGGTGTTTACAGGGTTTAGGGCATTAGACCTTCAAGGGAGACAAGGGGTTCAAGACAAACCCCAGCTCTCAGATCCCAAAACTGCTGTTGTGACTTTGACCGTTGAAAGCTAGGACGGTGATGGGGATAATGTTGTTGGTGACTTTCGGAGTTGTGGCTGCTGTCTCCAGCATCAAGAACCCTACTGGCCCTACTGCAGGCGTTAAAGCCGCAAGCTTTGGCCATCAGCTTGTGCCATGACAGGCTGCCACGATTATCGTGCGCAACGTCAAGGGCTACCTCGCGAGATTCCCGGCACAGTTCGGTGGCAGTTGACAGTGCGGGCTTTGGGTGAAGGGCTTAGGGATAGGGTTGGGGGTATCACTTCGAGCCTAACTTTCAGTTTCACACCTACAGTTCTTCAGCCCTATAGCTCACCACCGTGCGGTCCTAGTTAGTTAGATCCACCTTGCACCTGAAAATCTGGGATTCAGCCCAAAGCTCCCGTCCTGCATCTCGAACCCGAAAGCCCCAAAACAGCGTGACGCCAAAAGATCTAATTCAGCTGCCTGCTAGTTAGGATCAAGGATCTCTTATATGAAGACTCTTACGTGGGATTACCGCACCTACCTTCATCGCACCAGTGGAGCCCCTTGATTCTCTTCTTCTACGATCAAGACCCGGCTTTTCCTCTGTGACATTTGAAGAGCCCTAAGCGGCGCAGCTTCAGGAGTGCAGCCTTTTTGAAAGGCTGTTGTTGAAGGGATTGTGCTCGGTTGTACAGGGTTTGCAGAGGGTCTCTGTTTCGGATGGATTTCAAATCATGTTCAGATGTTCTTCGCAAGATGGGATGCCTTTATGTTTCAAGGAGTTGCGGGGCCCCGCGTATCTCTGACACTCTAGGGGTCAAGCGATTGGGGTTCAGGCTCCAGAAGTTTAGAGTCAGGAGAAATTCAGGCGCTGCGTGGATGTTTCTTCCCCTTAATCCTTTGTCTGTTGTTGACATGATCGTATTTCCAGATTGTCACAGGTTCTTCTGCTGTTTCATAGTTATCTCTGCCATTGGCTTAACAGCACTAGACCGGACGACTTGGAAAGAAGAGTCAAAAGTAGGGTTCTTCGCGGATAGCGGCGTTTCTTTCTAGGCACAGTAAGCCCGGAAGCTGTAGGCGGGCTGAGGTGACGTTTACAGCGCAGGGGGCCGAGGGTTGGAGTTCATGGTGTGGGCTGGCAGTTTTTGGTTCCGTTCGGTTGAGGTTTCTAGTCAGAGACATCGGCACATGTGAAGACTCGCGATTTCCGAACAGTTTCCGAGTATGGGAGCCGATGGAAGAGGTGTCAGTCGAAAGTGTCGAGAGAGCTGTACCAGTAATATAGGGGCCGTATTAAAAAGAATTGGGTTTTGGGCCCGTAATACTGTAATTCTAGAGTTATAATAAGGAACCCCCAAAATAGAATAGGTAATTATTAATTATGGCCTCTATAATCTCGCCCAGACACGCTGCAAGCTGCTGCGGAAGTTCTTGAAGCTGGACAAGTGCCCGCACAGAGACAGCTGCAGGATTAGCAAGCAGACAAAAGGTTAAAGGTTAAGTCAGGCTGCAAAGCATCGATCCATTCGCTTCTTCTGCGTCCCGTGGATCTTCAGCAGTGGCTTTGGATTATAGAAATTACTCCCGTTTGGCAACCGACAAGCGCATAAGAACACACAACTGTCTTCGGAGCTGTATACTCTACCCAGACCGCCGGGAGGATCCAAAAAGTGGAGTCCTTAATGGGGGTTCCTATGAAGTACTCTAGACCCTACCGAAAGTCTGGTAGCCACAAGCAGGATTGGTATTCTGATGCAAGCTTTGGATCGGCTCGGAGGCCCCGGGAAGTGACCGAACATCTACTAACCTTTGATATTGGAGGTGCTAAGGAGCCAGGGATGCTGATAATCCCTATTGAATAAGGAGCTAAAGAGCCAAGGGAACCCCAAAACCACTGGTTAGTCTACACAAAGCTCGGGTCCTCAGTTCCCTCCTCCTCCGCTCCGGGTCCTCCACTTTCGACAAATTCGGTCTTCAAGCCGTCGGAATTCAGGTACCGGCGAATCTTCTTCCCTGCATCCTTCACGTGGGAGGAGAGCTGCGGCTTCGGGTTTTCACCTGAAGCAGGTTAGGTAAGGTCTAGGGTTTTCAGGTTCAGGCTGGGGGAGTCTAGCTTACCCTAAGGCCCCAGAGTAGTTCCTTTTTGGTGCTCATATTTAGAATCCTATAAGGTAATCCCAAAAAAGAACTACTTTGGAGCCTATGGGTATGGGGTTCAGGGTTCGGAGCGCTGACTCGGCCGATTGCATCGGAAGACCTGGCGAGAATTAGGGGTACCTTTGTAGGGTTCCTTTGAGGGATCCTTAAAGGGATCTATAGGAGTTCCGAAAAGGGTTTAGGATTTCCTAGTAGTAGAGTAGGTAACCTTCAACCTTTTTTGGGTAGTATAGCCCCTATATAATCCCTAATTATATACCCAAAAAGGTTAACCTTCAGTTCCCCATCATCCCCGACAAGTCGGTTTCGGAGGGTCGGCGGGTTTAGGGTTTAGGGTTTAGGGTTTAGAGTTCCGGGTTCTTGTGCAGGGTGCACTGGTGAGAAGCTGCTGGGGCTTGGAGTGGGTTTCGCGAGGTATCGAGCTTCGAGCATGGTTCGATAGTCTCCGCAGGAATTATTTTGTTTTATTTTTGTTCATATAAAACCCAGGAGAATACGAACAATATGCTTTTTATTATGGTTCTAAGGGGGGTATAGGTTTTTGGAGAGTATAACAGGGATTGTGCTGTGGCTTTCAATCCGATCCACCTTGTACTAACCTCAGTGTCAATCTACAAATACACCCCAGAGCCCTACATTCAAAGGGGGAAAGGAGGGACCCTCAATGGGGACCCCTACCCTATAATGGGCTATATAATGGGTATATAATACCTGTATTAACGGTATATACCTAGGGGTCCCCATTAAGGGTCCCTCCTTTTCCCCTTTGATACATATTCTACTTTGAACGGCAACATGGGTCGGCAGAGGGTGCGTGGAGGGACGGTGATGAGGCTAATTGAGGCGCAACCCGCTTCATTTGACAGACACTCCCGCTTTGGCAGTTCCTCCCCGAACTGGTCCTGCTTCCAGTGTCTCGTGCTCCATACTTAGGGAGTCGTTTGATACATGCGCCTCGGAGCAAAAGCACTATGAAGTTGATTGAAGCGTGAAGTACTAGCAGGTTGGTAGACTCGGGAGTGGTGATGTCTTTGCATACCGCGCTGGAGGCTAAATGCTGTAAATCAACCTTGAATCCGATGTCCACTGGATCGCCAGAAGCTTGCACATCGTAGGCAGCACATGCTTCAATCAGTAAGCCTCTTTTGGGCTTCGAGCTTCTCCGTGTGGCGTGTTTGTTTTTTCAACATCTTTGCTGCGAGTTACGCCCTTGTGCGGCCGTTTCGCCTTGGCCGCTAGGCGATTGTCCTGCTCAACGTTGCCAGGGCGGCGCACCCTGGCCGAAAAAAGAAGCTGCGCGTCGCAAGCTGATGCTTAGCGCACTAGGCAGTGCCTCAGAGGCTGGGTTACCCTTTCTCTCTTAGTTTGGCACTCCCACCAAGAGATGTGTTACGTCCGATCGCTCGGTCGCAGTGTCGCATGACTTCCTGTTTCAGCCCTAGAGCCCCTAAGCCCTTAAGCCAAGACGTTGGTCTTTCCGCCCAGGTGCGACATGCCTCCACTACCCCGTGAGCATCGCTTCGAGGCTACTTCCTGGGGACTAGCTGGAGTTTCGGGGGCTTCGGTTCCTAGGGTTGAGGGGTTGCAGTAGGGTTTCAGGTAAGAGGGTGTTCGGACTCGGGAATTCAAAATCGTTGGAAAGCAGGTTGTTTTTATAATATGGGGCTTGGGCTTCATGATCAGGATTTGGGAACGGGTTCTTCGCGCCAAACGCGAGACATCACTTGATCCCATCCACTACAGCACACCAACGTCGTCCTTCTAAACTTGTGACTGAGCCCTGTAGCTTGGGGGCAATTTGCACCTAACCCTAAACCTTGACTTACCAGATACAAGCCCTAGGCCCCAAACATTAAACTCTCCGAAGTCCGCAAGTTTGAGAAGCTCTTATGTTGCACTGTGCTCCGTGTATGCCTTTCAGACCGCTGATGTCATGGCGATCCGGGCCAGAAGCTCAGAACGTACGGAAGCAAGGTTTAGGGTTGGTGTTCCAAGTGAGGGTTTGTTTTGGCACCTGCTAGGAGGGAGTACTTTAGCTCATCATGACTACTTCCTTGGGGTTGCTTCCTTAATACTTGTACAGCAAATCTTAATTTATATGTATCAGACCCATGGAACCCACACTAAGCAGCTGGAACCTTGAGATCATCCTCCTGAGATGGTGGACTCCAGCGAGATTCCTCGCCTCAAGTCGGATGTTTCGCGACTGCTGGCCTTCAGGTGGGCCATGGATGGGTTTAGGGGTTCAGCGGTTGAGGGGTTTGGGGTTTAGGGTTTGGGCTCGTTGAGGCTTTCGGGTTGCCTTTGAGCTGAGATTTGCCGTTTGGGGTTCCGGACACAGAGATCTTGTCTGCTTCGAGTTCGGGGAAAAAGTCGCGGTCTTGACGATGGTGCTTATGACGATGATGGTTATGAACACGATTTATGATCATGATGATGTTCATGAGTTCATGGCTACGATAGAAAGGCCGATAATGATAATGAACGTGTCAATGAGAAGGCAAGTCTGAAAATCCCAACCCACGAAGAGGTTCAGAGAAAGTTGAGGGTTTAGGGTTCAGGGCATGGAAAACCTCAGCGCCCCTCAGCAGGCTTGCAACCCCACCACGAGCCCCGAGAAAAGGGCCCAATCGCTAAAGTTAGGGTCTAAGGTTTGGGGTCTCCGAAAGCTCTTGACCCTCAACCCTCGTAGGCTATTAAAACAAAACCCTCAACCCCTAAACCCCTAAACCCCTAAACCCTATAAACTCTAGACTCCTAAACCCCTAAACCCCTAAACAATATTAACCCCTATTAACCCTTTAAACCCTAAACCCCTAAACCCCTAAACCCTATTAACCCCTAACCCCTAAACACCTAAACCCTATTAACCCCGAGCCCTCAAAGCCGAAGGAACTTCAGTTTGCTGCGGCCGGGACACCCAGAGTCGCAGAGCGGGTCTTCTTCACCTAAGGACTTTTGGGGCACCCCGCGCGTGTTGTTACAAGTTATTACTATGAATATATACTATCTATTAGAAGTACTACTTTATTATTATCCTGATAGTACAGCTGTCATGAATTTGTCATTACTCTCGTTGATTACAGGACTTGTAGGTGCGCAAAATCTTTGCATACTTGGGGCCGGCGACTTTGGGGTTTTGAGGATTTGGACTCTTCTTTCTAAGCTTAGGGTTCGGGATGCGGAGGTTGCTCCAACATGTTGCGGCTTTGGTGTTCGGGTTTAGGGTTAGGGGATTGGGTGCGGGATTGGGCTGAGGGCTTTGCAGCTGAGGGTTTGGGGGTTTAAGCAGGATGATGGACGTGGCTTTTTGCGGAGGGGGGTGTGGGGGGGGATGGGGGTGGGGGTGGGGATCGGTAGGTTCAGGGTTGGGTAGGGGTTTTTTCCGGTCAAAAGAGCATTATGAACGTTCCGGGTTGAAATCTAGTTCCTGCAATAACACGTCGTAATCGTCAAGGCTTGCCCAGGGTTCCACGCAACTGTCACAAACAGAATCTTCGGCTTTCGATGCGCGTGATGACTTCGCTGTCTCGCTTTGCGATGATGCCGGTAGTTCAAAACTCCCCTCGCTCTGAGGCCCAGCCACAGCGACCGCTACCCGAGCAATCTCTGGGTCTTGTGCTCAGCAATCGAGGCTCCAGGCTTAGGATGTCGGGCAAGCTCGGCAAATCGGGGTGTAGTTCTTACTCCCGGGGCGTTGTGCTTGGGTCGCCCGATTGCAGTTCAGAGGGCAGGATTCGCACTGAGGGTTCTGGATGCAGGATGCAGCGTCTTGGGTTGAAGGGGTTGGGTTCAGAGGTAACAAGTCTGCATATATACTTCGTGAAACCAGTCTGAGTTAGGACTTAGAATTCACTCCACGACGTCCCTCGAGAGGGGCTTTCTGGACTTCTGTCTTCCCCTCCAACTCCGCGCAAAATGGACACAATTCATAGCATCCCAACACTGAGCCGGACGGGTGTCGGGTTGTGGGTCGTGGCGGCAAGCTGCCTGTGATATCAGCTGGGTGTTGTTTTTGGTAAAGCCCTAAACCCTAAACCGTGGAACCGTCGGTCTTCCGAGCCTCAGAGCTTCCAGGGAACTGATCAGTAGCGCTCTCGAGCGGTTTAGGGATTTAAAGTGCTCTCGGGTTGAATGCGGGTCACCAAATCCTAAACCCTCAATCCTTCTTGAGGGTTTTGGGCCGGTGCCAGCCGAAAACCCTGAACTCCACACACCGGGTTCTCAATTTCTGCCTTGTCCCCCATCCAACACGAAGTGGAGGAGCTCTTAACCTCGGGTTTGGCGTATATCATATGGGTGGTTGTCAAAATTAGGGTCTCTTTTTGGGTCCTTATTATAATACGGCACTTAATATTTAGGGTACCCAAAAAGGGACCATATTTTGACAACCACCCATATCTCACTACGATTGTCTAGGGGCCCGTTTGATCGGACCCTGAACCTTGACTTCAAAACTCATGTTCTGCGCCAACTGATCGTAAGGACGGCCCATTTCATCGACTCGTCCCCGGTGGTGCCCCAGCGCACATTTGCAAGGCCGCGTTTCAGGGTTCCACCGCTCCGAAGTTCATGGGTAGTTATATAAGTAGGGTTATAAGTAGGGTAACTATACTTATAACTCATATTAGGGGACTTATAACCCTACTTATAACTACCCATGAACCTCCTTCGGGCTTGCATGAAAAAGAGGATTTGGATTAGCTTGGTTCAGGCATGGCAGGATGCATGCTGATTCTGGTAACATGCTCCTTTGATTGGTACCCAGTTCCATCAACAGATCCTTTCTCGACAGTCCAGATTTTTTGAAGGTCTTGGAATTTGGCTTGTGATGATTGCGGTCTCTGCCTACGCGGCAAGCACATCCATGCTCAAAAAGATGCTGGTACGCTATAGAGGCTGATTGAAATTCGTGCCAAAGTTCATATCCCAACCTAGTGTCTGTATAAAATATCCCAAACCACCGTTCTAATCTGGTGGCTCAGGCCCCTGTCATACTGTTCGAGACGTTGGTCTTGCGGTTTGGTATTGAGGAACTCTGAATGCCATGGAGGCCCCAGCATGCTTTAAGCAATCGGGTTACACAGGGTATGTTGCCACAGTGTATATTGTCTTGAATTATATAAGTAAGCCCGGAAGCCCTGAACCACCAAAACCTGGCAGAGTTTGTACCCAAACCCCCAACCCTGAACCCTAAACCCTAAGCCTGGGAGCAGCAATTCTACAGAGACCTGGAGCCTAAAAGCAACGAGCCTCGAGCTCGTATTTCACCCGGCATTTTCAGCTTTCAAGGCCCCCGAGCCAGATATTCGTGTAGGACTTAGTGCTACAACTAGGGTTTGGTTTAGTAAGGGTTTGGGCTGCAGCCTTGAAAGCCAAGCGTTTACAATCCTAGACCAGGCCTACCAGAAAGTGCGCCGGCGTGCAGCCAACGTCGACAACGTATGTCGTCAGGCATGGCATTGGGCAAAGCCCTAAATCCGGGTCGGGGTTTCGGGTCTAGGGTTCATCCAGGATTCCGAGAAGCCTCCCCGACGACCCGTAGCGACAGAGCCATTCCGATTGTGTTTGCCTCATCCCGCTTGGACCTGGACCACTCAAGAAAGCTTCAGAATCCTGCCTGGTGCCTTAACACTCAAACCAGGCGCCCGAAATACCGTACGCCAGCAATCTCTAAGCCCTATACGCCCGAAATCCTAAAACCCTCAACCCCAAACCCTTGGGGTTTAGGGTTTAGGGGTTTAGGGTTTAGATTAGGGTTTAGGGGGTTTAGGGCTTATAGGATCTCTAAGTGTGAAGGTGTTTCTGGCGTCCTGTGCGCCTGGGCCCCATCCCATCCATCGAGCACCATGTCTGGAAGGCTGCTGCCAGGGATTTCAAAGGGTTCCTAGGGTTCCTTTAAAGGGTGCTATAAGGGATCCTTAGGGTTCCTTTAAAGGGATCTATAAGGGTATCATGGGGGTTCCCTTTAAAGGGTTCCTATAAGGATTACTATAAGGGTACTATAAGGGATCTATAAGGGTACTACAAGGGGTTCTATAATGTAGGAGGCCAAAAGGGGTTGTTAGCCTATGGGGCTTTAGTAGGGATTAGGGTTCCCATAATGGGGTTCATATTAAGGAATCCCTACCCCAAGAATCTGAAACCCCCTTTTTGGCCTCCCATCAGGATTGCTGGAATAGTTCTTAGATCCCGACCTTTAAACTTTTGGGGTTCTTATGGTTTAGTAGGAATCGGAAAGTTTAGCCTTTTGTTTCTGTGGCCTATTGGGGTAGTAGGAGTTGGGTTGAGGCACTTTCGGGGTTTGGGGTTTGGAAGTGCAGGAACGGTTTTCGGTGTGATGGCTTTATCGATGGCAAGAGGTGGGGCCGAGGCGTTATGGTTGGTTCAACATGATGAAACAGTAATGATTAGCTGTTCTACTGGAGGGGCCTTCATAATTACCTATAGTAAGTATTTTTGGGGGTTCCTTGTTGTAATTATGGTACAGTGGGCCCCAAACCCTAGTCTAATTATTATGGCCCCTATATGACTCAACCCGAACCCACACCCCCAAGTCGAGGCCGCTAGAGAAGGGATTCCCGGCAGACTTCCCGATTTTTCGGGCGTTGACGGGTTTGGGCGCTGTGTTGGTTAAACATAGGGGTTTGAGGGTTTGAAGGTTTCGAGGTGTGAGTGAGGGGTTGATTGAGGATAAACTTTGAGCCCATCCTAAACCATGATGCCTGAGCCCTAAGCCCTAAACCCTAAACCCGAGTGCACCTGATTAAGGCGGGCTGGCGAGACATCAAAAGTCCGATGCACTTTAAACAAAACCCTAAACCCGACTCGAGCATAGCAGAAGAACCCTGAAGAGGCTTCAGGGTATGATCTGCCCTGACCCTTGGGCCTTAGCTTGCAGGGTTTAGGGTTTAAGGTCTAGAGTTTTTTGGGGTTTATAAGATCTAGAGCTTTTTAGGGTTTATACGGACTAGGGCTTTTATGGTCTATAGGGTCCAGAGCTTTTTATGGTTTATACGGTCTGGAGGTTTTTATGGTTTATAAGGTCTAGAACTTTTTATGGTTTATGGGGCCCAATTCGATCGCTGGAGGTCCGTTCGTCGTCAGGGACACAAAGGCGCCGGAGCCTCAGACTTACCTTTGGTTAGTAGGGAATGGTAGTAATAGTAGTTATAATATAATTGGGTGGTTGTCAAAATTAGGGTCCTTTTTTGGGTACCCTAAATACTAGGTGCCGTATTATAATAAGGACCCAAAAAGGGACCCTAATTTTGACAACCACCCAATTATACTAAAGATATAGGATTATGAAGGCCCCTATATTGTAGTACCCTTATAGATTTTCTTATAGTAACCCTTATAGACCCCTTTATAAGGCCCCTTCCATTCCCTACTAACCAAAGGTAAGCAGAAAGCGGCCATGCGGCCGAATCAGATCTAAACTTTCGGGCTTCGGGGCTTAGGGTTTAGGGCTTAGGGTTTAGGGCTTTAGGGTTTAGGGTTTAGGGTTTAGGGTTTAGGGTTTAGGGTTTTAGGGCTTTAGGGTTTTAGGGCTTTTGGTTTAGGGTTAGCGTTCTAGGGCTTTTGGATTTAGGGCTTAGGGTTTAGGGTTTTAGGGCTTTAGGGTTTTAGGGCTTTTGGTTTAGGGTTAGCGTTCTAGGGCTTTTGGATTTAGGGCTTAGGGTTTAGGGTTTTAGGGCTCTAGGGTTTTAGGGCTTTTGGTTTAGGGTTAGCGTTCTAGGGCTTTTGGATTTAGGGCTTTGGGTTTAGGGCTTTGCCAACCTTTGATATTGCAAAACCACTAGTTGGTTTGGGTTTAGGGTTTTAGGGTTTTAGGGTTTAGGGCTTAGGGTTTACGGCTTAGGGTTTTAAGGTTTAGGGTTTAGGGTTTTAGGGCTTTTGGGTTTAGGGCTTCTGCTACCTCTACTCTTATTTGAGGGTACAGGTGCAGGGTGGGTCCTGGTTCTTATCAGAGAAGCTCAAACGATACTTGCAAGAGACTGTTCGTTACTTATGGCAATATATACGGCTCGCTTATCTCTGGGGGCGACAACATACACCCATTGATTTTACTGTTTCGCAACGTGAGTCACGCAGGGATGTCACAATAAGTTGCTGGGCTTCTTGCTCTGAGCATTGCCCAATGACGAAGCCCCTCCACTTGAAGACTCAAAACCCAAAGCCCGCGACGCCGGAACCTAGCGTCTAAACCCTAAATCCAAGCCCCAGAACGTGAACCCTGAACCCCAACTACTGTACCCGAGACTCAAACCCCATGTCCTAAACCCTAGACCCATACCTCCAGTCCCAACAACCCTGAACCTAAATATCCTGGACAGTGCTTGAAATCCAAGTACCCTACATAATACTCCGAAATTGAGCTGTTAAATCCGATGACCCTGATGTACCAACCTGATGAAGAGCCCCATGGCTCTTTAGACGCCAAACAGCAGAACTCAGAATCTGCATAAGAACGATCCCAGTGGCCTCCACACGCAAGGCACGAAACAAACTATCCGCAGACCCCGGCCCTACACCCTGGCCCCGAAGCCCTCAAGACCTTTCAGCAAGGCCCGACTTTCGGGAACTCTATCGCTTCGGCACAATGCTCGGGGAGGGCGCCGTGAGCTCGGAGGGGTGTGCGGTTACAGGGCTACTGGGGTTTGAAATTTACGTTTCAGGGATTTTGGGGCTTGATATGGTTTTAGGCTTGAGGGCTTCAGGGTTTGCAGGTTTACATTTTCTTGGGGCTTTTTCAGGATTCAGGGACTGGGATTCTTCGTGGGCATATGGGTCGTGGCTGCAGGCTTAGAGCTTCAGGATCATGGTTAGGGGCAAGGATTGGGGTATTAAAGGGAGCTCCAGAAAGTTGGAATATGGTTTCAGGGTAGGATACCTTATAATTTACCATAAAGGGTTTAGGATAATCATATTCCAACTTTCTGGCTACTACTTTAGGGCTTCGGGTTCAGGATCCGACCGTGTGACTTCTCGCCCCATCGGCTCGAACCCTGAACCCGAAACCTAGGGTTTAGGGTTTAGGGTTTAGGGTTTAGGGTTCCTGGAAGCCTCATCCCTGAAGCAAACCAGGTCGCCCTGAAACTTAAGCCTTGAATTCTAAACCCGAAGCCTCGAAACCCAAGAGAGGAGCCTTCACAGTTGTGAAATAGGGTTTGGGGTTATTTTTTTTTAGGAAAAGGAAGATTTATAGGCTGCTATATTCAACACCCCAGCCCTGAACCCCAGCAAAGCCGCAGCAGGAGATTGCATGACACCCGTTTAATGCGCCGCTTTGCCTGAATTCTGATGATCAGATGCCCATGACCAGTGCATACCAGTGCCACTGAAGGAAGGGGGGCGACCTAGTAACCGGAGGTCGTCGACAATTGAGTAACCCTGAGCCCGAGACCCTGAAACCCTTGAGCCCAAAACCCAAACACCTAAGCAATATTGTCCACAGATCAGGATTTTGTATGTTTTCTTCAACCAGGGACAGTCGGAGCATGTGGTCCACGCCACTGTCTATTCAGTGAAGGTTTGGGGTTTAGGGTTTAGGGTCTGGGGCTCAATGTTTCTGCCGCAACGAGTGGTAGCCACGGTAACAGGGACAAGAGGACTTGCCCAAGCCCCGTTGGAACCATAGACACAACTGCAACTGAGCCACCAGTACCCCAAACCCTTAACTTCAACCCTACGCTAAACCCTATACACTCTAACACCCGGTACGCAAGGACTTTGGGATCGTGTACACGTGCGATGTGCGCCCGGGTCCTTTGTGGGACGAGGAATCGCTGGCATAATTTTGGCCCATCTCAAAAGGGGTCGTGCAAAAACCAGTTTCGGGATCTAACCCGAAGCCTTGAACCCAAACCCTTAGCCCTGTGACCGTTGCGAGGAGCTCATGCGTGAGGCTGAGTCCAGACATTCCTCTGTGGAGGCCGGGAGGTTGTGTGCTTCAGGTTTTTGTCCCAAGCGTCTAGGTTCCAAAGCCATGTGAGTGGTTGTCAAAATTATGGTCCCTTTTTGGGTCCCTGATATAATATAAGGTACCCAAAAAGGGACCATAATTTTGACAACCACCCATGTGATGAACAAAACCTCTAGGCAGGGATTGCAGACCATTCCTCTTGTCTTCAGGAATGAGAAATGACGCTCTGAGCGCTCGCTGTCTTCAAAGTAGCGCCCTGAAACCTTAAAAAATCGCGCACACGGCTGATGCAGGAGGATTTTACGAAGCTGGGGTTGCAGGGGGCTATTAATATAGAAGCTTGAATAATTACCAATACTATTTGTCAGGGGTCGTTAATTTTCTCATAGTGTAGTAGTAAAAATTCTACTTATTAATTACGGAAAGAATGTATTACCCCAAAGCCAAGCTTGCAAGCTTGGGTGCTCCTACAGAAAATTCCAGTTAGAAGCCTTATAAAGCCAGAAGGAATGGCTTTCACGTGGGTCAATGTCACTGGTATCGACATATCCAGTAGACTGTTCAGGCTTAGCCGCTGCAATGTGGACCGTCTTAGGACAGACGTAAACCGTAAACCTGAAAGCCCATGCATGCCAATCTGTGCCCATCTCTGCGGCCTCCAGACAACCAAACCTCTTAAGCAGGCAATATACCTCAACTTCTAGAGGCACCCTCAATGTGACTTATGGTGTAGTCCCTCGTAAATAAATACAGACAAGCACCCATGTGCCCGAGGAGGACCCGGACGACACGAGTGTCTTAGAGGAGCATGAAGATCGGATCCCAGCGATCACTGCAATCTCCAATCTTCTTTGCTGCTTTGGGGGCTAGGGTTTAGGGGAAGGGCTTCAGCATTTTCGCATGGCGGTCTAAGGATTGCATATGCACATGCATATGCACATGCATATGCATGCATGTATGCATGTGTGTATGCACGCATGCCCGTATGCAATGAAGTGTGTAGGCACGTACGTGTGTATGTATATGTATGTGGCATGGGGTTTACGTATACGGAGTTGTCTATAGACGGGTATGCATGTTTCTCCTATAGTGTTGTACAGAAGCAGCACGCAAAGACACATCGCTGTATATATCATGTGTATATACATGTATGTTTTTGTATGCATATGGTTTTGTACATACTTGGGCTTTATAGCTTAAACATCTAGGACTCACATTTTGGAATTGTAGTGACATTTATGTTTATGTAAACACACACACAGAGACGCAGACAAACCATAACTGTACAAAACGTCGTTTCTAGACACATGAGTGCGTATGTATACGTACAAAGTCATACTTCTATACGTACATACATACATATATATATATGCACATGTACATACATACGTATGTGTGTTATATATGTATATGTGTGCATATATTATATACAAACTTGGAATTACGTGCTGTAGAGCTATGCAGGCCTCATGTAGCATCCTCGTAAGTAGCACATGCCCAGGGACATCGGAATCTGGCCCGCTTGCTGGCTGAACGGAGGCACACAGTCATGGTCATGATGATCATGACTGCCCTTGTATCGGTAATGATGAGTGCACGATTGCTGTTGTTGCTTATGGCGACTGCTGATACCATGCCTAGCGGCACCCTGCACTGCAGACCCGAAAGGGTTACCTAGACCTATACTTCTCGGTTTCAGTACTACAATGTCCTTGTGGTTCAGGTGGGGTTTAATGCTCATATTTGGATGTTCCTGCATCCACCGAGTCCAATGTGAACGCAGATGAAACCATGATGCCGTCTGTCTACCGGCCGAACTGCAACCCCAATCCAAGCAAATGCCACTATGTCCTTGCAACACTGAATGTTAGTATAGCATGCCCCTCAATCCTTTTCTAATCATTGCGGCCCTTATATTGCTCGTGCCGTAGGACAAGTCAAGTGGAATGAGAGGACTATTTGGCTTCTGTCAGGGTTACTTTAAGTGCACTTCAGGGCTTTGGGGTTTCGATTGATCCGAAACTCCGATGCCGCAAATGCCGGGATGGGCAATCGTGACGATCACAACTTGTCAGGCATATTCTGCAGAAGGAGATGGACCAACGCCACCAGCTCTGCTGTCATTGCAGTCTGCAATCTTTCAGGGCGCCACAAGTCAAGGTCTGGCAGAGGCTGGTGTTGTAGTACCAACCAGCGAAGTTCATCAACATACGGTTTGTAATCGAGTGTAAATATGTACATGGTTTGCTGCTGTTCCATATTGCTGGACGTTTGTACTGCTGAGCTAGTTTTATCGTCACAGTTGTCGCACTTATCTATGTTGGAGCTCTGGAGATAGCCACAGTTTCCATGTCTCACCCCAAACCGTGGGGCACAGGCTTGGGTTCAGGGTATGAAGGCAGCACTAGGGCTACTAGGGATTTACATTGCGTTTAGGGTTCAGTGTTGAGGGGATATCCCTATGTGCCTATCATCAAATCGTAAATTTAAGCCTACTGTTTGGTCTAGACGGTTACTAGCGGGTGCTGCCTACACCCGAATCTGGTGTTCACGAACCTGGTCCTTCTTCCCTTAAGCCTGCAGTCTTAACTCGAAAACGGGGTTTACGGACTTCCCCATAGAATCTTGAAAGACTTCGTAGGCGATTCTTGAAGGACCGAAGGACCCACTTGCCCAACATGGAAAACGCATTAGGCCGTGAGCGGCAGATGCATCTCGTGGATCAGCCCACTGTGGGCCTGGCTTTATGAACGCTTCCGAAACTTCTTACGCGTACTTAGATTTTTTTGGTTATTATAACCCCTAAGAAACAGCTAAAATTACAATTTTTGCTAGGGTTCTAAGTTCAGTATAGACTTGGGGAAGGAGGATGTCAGTGTCAATTGTGAAGGCTTTAGCTTCAAGAGTTTTCGGGGTATGGTGTTCGTCACTGGGGGTTGGGGTTTTGGCTATGAGGCTTCAGGACCTGGTTTGGCAGGAAGCGTTTCAGGTCCAGGGGCACCTCAAGGGAAGCAGACGGACCACCTACGCCTGAGGCTAGGGCTTAGGGCTGAGGGTTTACGCCCAACACGTAGGCGCCGAGACCCTTAGCACACCGGAAACCCTTACAGCCCGAAGCGGCAGTAGCCGCTAAAGCGGTCAACCGCTAAGCCTCAAGCTCTGAAACCCTCAAGCTCTAAAATGTACATTAAAGCCCTACATCAAAACCCAAGCCCTACTACCCGAAAGCCCTACAGCGAAGGCCGGAAACCCGCACAACCGACGCCCTTAATTAAGATCCCTTGAAGGAGTCCTCCATTCCACCCGATTTTTAAATTCCCGGAACAACCAATGCCAGAAGCTGGACGTGCCAACGGGTGGCCTGGTGGTGAAACTGGTGGAGCTCGTGGGCCCAGTTTTTCACACAGCAGAGCAGTTTTGGATGGTTTCTCATTCGGTTTTCGAGTGCAGTTCTAGTTTAAAGGGTGTTACTACGCTTTGGGGGTTACATGGGCCCTAAGCCCTAAACCCCTAGACACTAAAGCCTCAAAACATTAGGACAGCCAGAGTTAGTACAATGTAGGGGCCTTGATAATTTGAATAGGGCTTTCGGGGATGTGATATCATAATGGTAATAAGGAGCCCCAAAATCCTATTCTATTTCCTAAGGCCCCTACATATAGTACCCTAATAGTAGCCCTTATTATGATAGAACCCCTTTAAAGGAGCCTTATTCTAATTCCTAAGGCCCTACATTATGCGCCTCATTTAGTCTTTTCGCCTTGAGGAGTCATGAGGGTACAGGGTTCGGATCGACCCTCGCACCGGAGCAGACTGAGAATCTACAATGTACAAGTCTTCCCTAGGAGTTTGGGTTTAAGGCTTAGGCTTTAGGGTTTGGGGTTAGTTTAGCGTTTAGGTTTTAGGCTTTAGGGTTTAGGTTTTAGGCTTTAGGGTTTAGGGTTAGTTTAGGGTTTAATTTAGGGTTCAGGGTTTAGGGCTTCTGGTTCAGCTTTTTGGCTTTGGGGTTCACGGGACATTTGGGTCCAGTGGAGGGGGTCCTAAAGAGCACTTCCACAAATGAGAGGTCTCAGGCCCCCGAAGCCCTGCTCACTGTAGTGAGATTTAAGGAATATAATTCAGATATATTGGAGTCTCTGGGTATCCTGAGACCGAAAAGCAACACTGGAGCCCGGACCCCACTCCGTTACGACACGTATGAAGCTTTCTCACAGACTAGGGCTCTCCTGCTAGCAGTTCTACCATCACACCCCCTCAAAAACCAAACTGGTCCAGTTATTCAGGCCCCTCTATTCTGTACACCCCTGCATCATTTTTGCATTCTCTTTCTGCAGTCATCGGTCCAGCTGGTGGGGCAGCGGGGGAACTCAGGGGACGAGGTATCGGATCGAACGCACGGATTTCTGCAAAGGGCTTGAGGAAATATGTGTTGCCTCAGGACTCTTTTTTTTTTTTGCAATCTGCAGCTTTGTAACATGAGTTTGAAGAAGCCCAAGAGAGTGTTCGAACCGTTTGTGATCCTCGGTATGATAAGGCCTGTAGAGGCTTCGTGGCCCTAGGAAGTTGAGCGTGTTGCTTTGAGTTGAGGCCGGCGGGATCTGTCTTCACCCGGGTTCTTAGCTCTAAGCTCTAAACTCCTCGAGGATTCCAATCCCCAAAACCGCTGAACGCTAAACTATCACCCTAAGCTTGAAGCCTCCTACTTGGAGGTTCATGGATAGTTATAAGTAGGGTTATAAGTCCTCTAATATGAGTTATAAGTATATCGTTACCCTACTTATAACCCTACTCATAACTACCCATGAACCTCCCGAACAGATGGCCACAACGGGCTTTGAGGTTATTGAATTTGAGGATACAGACTTCTGTGCTTCGGGCGTCAGAGAGCTTTAAAGGGCGTTTGGGGTTGCAGTCTACAATAGTATAAGCGAATTTCCGGGTCCCTTACTCCCTGAACCTGCCAGACCTCCCTAGCTAAATGGGAGTTTCCGAAGATAGGGGACCCTGATCTAGTACCCCAAATAGTCTAGGATCCTCATCATAAGGACTCCCAAAATCAGGTGTATACCCCCTATTGTTCGGAAATTCCCATATACCAAAACCCATGCTTGGGACCTGGGCAGGGTTTCGTAGGACGCCCGAGATGGAGCCTGAAGGTTGGTAGAAGTTTCGAGCATGTCGTGGCTATTTTTTCTTGCTGTTTTTGTTTTTTGGTTCTTGCTGTTTGGTATAACTATAATGTAGTTAGGCTTATCACATCTATCACTAAGAAATATGACCCTAAACCCTCAACCCCAAGCCGTCCGCTGCTCAAACGATCGACCAAACACCGTTGGCGCCTTTTACAAAATAAAGGGAACTCCAGAAAGTTGGAAGATGGTTTCAGGGTACAATACCTTATAATTTACCATAAAGGGTATAGGAGAATCATATTCCAACTTTCTGGCTACTACTTTAGGGGGACCCCAATATAGTACCCCAGATAGTAGGATCCTTATTCTAAGGAACCCAAAATAATGCACCCCTAATTTTCCGACTTTATTGGGCCTCGGGTTGCTTACGACCGAAACGGAGCCTGGAAATGGACAACTAAATGTTTGCGCTTTAGGGCTTAGGGCTTAGGATTACTTAAATTAGGGTTTAGGGCTTAGGATTACTTAAATTACGGATTAGGGTTTAGGATTAGTCAAACACACTGAATCTTCAAATCTGAGGCAGATGAAACTTTGCCCTGAGCACCAGGCCCCCAACTGAATCCTACCTGTCCAAGGCCTAGCGGACTAACCCTAAACCCTAAACCCTAAAACCCTAAACCCTAAACCCTAAAACCCTAAACCCTAAGCTGAATCCTACCTGTCTAAGGCCTAGCGGACTTTTGTCTGCACTCCTCGCAGCAAGGGAAGTCCTGGCTGCTGCTGTCCAAGGACTGGCATGCAACTCATGCAATAGGGGAGTGTCCGACAATTCGGGGTATCTTATTTTGTGGTCCTTATAATAAGGATCCTACTATTTAGGGTAGTATATTGGGGTCCCCTGTTTTCGGAAACTCCCATATTCTGCCAATATGCGGTGTCGGATAGCCATCACAGATGTGCTGATTAGCCTGAGTCTTATTGACTCGAAGCGCTTCAACTTGCTGTGATCACATCGACGACCTAGTGCTGCTGCAAGCACGACGACGACGACCATCAGCACTACGAAGCACCACTCCCACTGCAACCCCAACTGATACTCTAAGCCCTAAACCCTAAACCCCGAAACCCTAACCCCCTAACCCCTAAACCGTCACCTGCCACTACTACCACCACCTTTGCTGCAAAGCCACTGCGGTAGGTGCTGCTAGATCTGCTGCAGCTGCTGCTGACTAGTACTACTAGTACTACTAGTACTACTAGTACTACTACTACTACTACTACTACTACTACTACTACTACTACTACTACTACTAGTACTACTACTACTACTACTACTACTACTACTACTACTACTACTACTACTACTACTACTACTACTACTACTACTACTACTACTACTACTACTACTACTTGGAGGTTCATGGGTAGTTATGAGTAGGGTTATAAGCAGGGTAACTATATACTTATAACTCATATTAGGGGACTTATAACCCTACTTATAACTACCCATGAACCTCCAAGTAGTACTTCCAACTAACATTCCGCCTTCCCCTGGTGATACTTACTCCTACTCCTTCACCTCCCACCAATCTCTGTGAGCTCGACCAACGTGTACATGAACGTACACGAATGCATACGTACTCGTAGTGAACAAATACAACATTTAGCGAGGGATATGGGCACACCAAGAAAGGAGAGAGATTTTTTGCAGAAATACACACAGAAAAGGAGCAGATAGATAGATCGTTCGATCGATCGACCGGTAGATCGATAGACGACAGACCGATAGATAGGTCAGTGGAGAGATAGGTAGATAGATAGATCGACAGACCGATAGGTCTATAGACAGATAGATAGATGGACAGATAGACAGATAGAACGATAGGTAGGGCAGAGAGATAGAGAGAGAGAGAGAGAGAGAGAGAGAGAGAGAGAGAGAGAGAGAGAGAGAGAGAGAGAGAGAGAGAGAGAGAGAGAGAGAGAGAGAGAGAGATAGAGCGAAAAGGACAGAGAGAGCGGGAGAAAGATAGAGAGATAGAGAGAGAGAGAGAGAGAGAGAGAGATAGAGAGAGAGAGAGAGAGATAGAGCGAAAAGGACAGAGAGAGCGGGAGAAAGATAGAGAGATAGATAGATAGAGAGAGAGAGAGAGAGAGAGAGAGAGAGAGAGAGAGAGAGAGAAGAGAGAGAGAGAGAGAGAGAGAGAGAGAGAGACAGAGAGAGAGAGAGAGAGAGAGGGGGAGAAAGACAGAGAGAGAGGGAGAAAGACAGAGAGAGAGGGAGAAAGACAGAGAGAGAGAGAGAGAGAGAGAGCGCGAGAGAGAGAGAGAGAGAGAGAGAGAGAGACAGAGACAGAGACAGAGCCACGGATCCACAGATCCACATATCCACAGAGCCACAGAGCCACAGAGACAGAGAGATGCTGATGGAGATAGACACAGAGACAGGGACATGGATCGAGACAGAGATACTGTTGATGCTATAAATCCTGCATTACCTTAAGGACCCTAAACTATGGGAATTATTGTATATTCCTTATTATGGGTAATGCAGGATTTATATCATCAACCGTAGGAGGTATGATGGATGCATGTGGCTGTGCGCTGTGTGTTCTCCACCTATTGCAGGCCCTCAAGCCTCTCGCCGGCCTGACCCGAAGCCTCGATCCTGCAGCCTAAACTAAGCTTTGATATTGGAGGAGCTAAGGAGCCAGGGATAAGGAGCTAAAGAGCCAAGGGAACCCCAAAACCACTGGTTAGTAAACCCTCATGCAAGGGTGAAAGAGCGCCAGGGATGATCAGACGTAGGGACCATTGGGTTGCAAACCTGGTGGTTTTCACGACTCGAGCTTTTAGGGGCACAGCGCAACCCGCTGTTGAAGATGAACTGGTCTTGCGTACACCGCCTCGTTTCGTCCAGAGAAGAATCTAGAGCTTGGAGCTCAGGTTAGATTCAGGGTCTTTTCGAGGTTTGGAGTGGGGGAGTTAGGGATTGCGGGTTTGAAGGTTTAGGGTTTAAAGGTTTAGAGTTTCCAAGACAGCATTTCAGGAGGTGAAGAAGCTGTCGCAGCTCTCGCATCCCAACCTCGTGCCGACCTTGGATGATAACTCCTAGGGCTTCGGAGCTTCTTCCGAACACCGCAGAAGCAAGAATCCGCGGGTTGTGGAGCTCCGTTCTAGATTCTAGAGCCTATCAAGGCCCGTACATCCTAAACCCTTTAAGCCGTGAACTTCAGCATGCTGGCGAAGCCCGAGATCAAGACGCACAACCTCTTCGTGGACGATTACTTCGTCTACTTTGTGATCTCCAGGCCTGCAAAGCCTCTTCGCCTAGCTCTTCAGAAGGAGTCTCAACCCCAAAGCTAGACCCCAACACAAAACTGCCCACTCCAGGCGAGATTTCAGGGGTCTGTGTTTAGAGCAACCCCTAAACCCTAAATCCTGAGGATTCAAAAGAAAACCCAAAGTCCAAACCCCAAACCCCAAGACGGCCTCCTGGTAGTCCCCAACCCGCTTCTCGAAGAAGTTCGTCTTGCCTTCGGGTCTAGCCTCGGTTCAGGGAATTAAAGGATTTTTTTTGGGGTTGTAGGGTTTACATAGGATTCCCTTAAGGGTGTTAAAAGGGGAGCTAGAAACAGGCCCCTAAACCCTAAACTGTAAGGGTGTTATAAGGGAGCTATAGGCATCTGCAGTTCGGATGCGAAAGAGGAGGGACTAAGTCTTGATCATCTTTTTAATCTTGGGGCTTTGGGTTTAGGAATACTATAGGGGCCTAAAAGATTACCAATACTACTCCGGGGGTTCCTTGTTATGATTATAGTATAATGGGCCCCAAGACCCCATCGTTACAATTAAAGCCCCTATAGTATGGTTTTTGCCTGTCTTACAAGGTGCTAAACTCCTGAACTTTTGAAGCCCCGAGCCCCTCAGCCGTAGCCTGCCACATGCTACACAAATCAGGAGTTCGGTAAGGAAATCACAATGAGGAGTAGTGTAGGGTTCAGGCAAATCCCAAATTGTCAGAGTGAAGGGGCATTTCTATGTTTGGTTCTGGGCCTGTTTAGACTTAAGGGTCAAGGGTCTGGGGTTCAGGACTTAGGGTTTGTAGGGTGCAGCTAGGTTCTAAACTTTAGACTGCAGCGGATGTCGCCGAACAGCAGAATAGCACTGGGCCCTCAATGAAGTGTTTGCAATCAAAATGAGCAATGTCACTCGCTTGCAGTTGCTTTACATAACCCGTAGGTGACAGTGATGTGTGGATCTTAATAATTTTTCCGAATCCACAGAATCCAGTGCCGGACTCAGCAGAGCAACCCTATGACCCGGTTTTTTCGATATTCCCACCAGATTTCAATAGAGGCTCTAGCTGCACAGCTTGCCTACCGTAGATGCCGCGACCCCTACCTTGCCAAGCTCATGGCATCTGTGTAGGACATGCTTCATACCTGCCTCCGGCAGTAAAAGGCCATCTGCCCCACTGTCCTGCAGTGTGTGGTGGCGTTCTTCTCCGATGTACCGCCTTTCACTTCACCCATCCGACGGAGTCGGTGTGGGATACTGTAGGAACCTGATTAAGACACCCTGGCCCTTTAACCCCAATATCTCAGGATCCATGTAGGTGGTTGTCAAAATGATGGCCCCTTTTTGGGTACCCTAAATATTAGGTGCCGTATCATACTAAGGACCCAAAAAGGGACCATGATTTTGACAACCACCCATGTTAAGAACCTCAAGAAGGACCTAAGGTTTCTTAAGCTGGTTTCTACATTACAAACTGGGACACAGTTCTCAAAGACCGTCGGTTTACACATGTCATGCGTTGGGTCAAGAGCGTCCTGCCACACACGATCAAGCTTAACAGCCTTAGACACACTTGACCCTCGGAAACCTATCGAGCGCTACGGCGACCCGGACCCGAACTAATAAATGAGGCAGGACGCTATCTTTCAACACAATTCTGCCAGGTTTCCCTGCAGCTTACGAGATGGGATCTTGAACGCTTGCCGGTCGGCGCCCAGGATTTCAGGGGCTGTCGGGGGGCGTTTCTGAGGGGGGATTCAGATGAAGGAGTGTTAAATATCGGGTCCTTAAGGATGAGAATAAAATAAAAGTCTTATGGACAAGGAGACGATGGTGGTTTTTTCATAGGGACCTTAGGTGGGTTGGGGGAGGGGTGTTGGGGGACTATATTAAGATCCCCTACCCCCTCCCTAAAACCTCTCTTTCTTAGCTCAGAGTTTCGGGTCTGGTCGTTGAGTAAGGTCTGGGGTGGAGAGGCTTTAGGTGTGAGGTTTAAGGCCTAGTTTTGCAGAGCAAGTCTTTCAAAGAGTCCTTCGAGAACTTGCGGCTCCAACTCAAACCTTCAAATCGAAAAGAGCTACGTGAGTCTAGAGTCTAGGGTTTACGGATTCAGGGCTGATATTTCAATGTAGGGCTTTGTTTTGTTCCACAAGTTTTTCAATGTTCGCAGGGGGAGGGTGCGGACTTGTCTCCCGACAGCCAAACCTTCAACCTTCGCAAGGTTTTGTGCTTTTGACAGGGAGTGTCGTAAAATATAGAAGCTGTTTCATGCTAATGATAGTAGTAGGCCTCGCAGCCCTCAACGGCACTCCCCCAGCCTTACGCAGAACTCAGTTGCAAGTACCCACCCGGAGAAACTGCTGAGCGCTTGGCAGAAAAAACTTTCCCGCACTCTAATACCTATACCGAAACCGCAAGCCCCCAAACCTCATCAGCAATGCGAAGAGTATCAATGTCGAGGTTCTCTCGACGCGGCCTCCCACTCCCCATTGCTGCGGATGTAGCCGCCGCTAGCCCAGACGCGGTATCTTTTTCCCAACAGCGTTGTTTCCCTTGTCAGCCCCACCCTGGAAACCCTCAAGACTCAAAACCCTTCATGCCCTAAACAGCCTCAGCCTTGAATCAGTCAGAAACTTAAGCCGAATCTCTCAACAAAGCCTAAACCCTAAACCCCTAAACCCTAAACCCCGAAACCGTTCAGCTTTAAAAAAACCCGAAACCCTATAAACCCTAAACCTTAGACCCTCGATCATAAGCTACCAAGTATCATGTTTACGGAAGATATCAGGGTAGATCTCGGAGTAGGTCCAAACCCAACCCCAAACATAAGCTTGAGCGTGAAAAGCCATAATGTAGGGGCCCCAAAGTAGTTCCTTTTTTGGTAGTATATTGAAGTCCCTAACCAAAAAAGAGGACACACCCAAAAAGGAACTACTTTGGGGCTCCTGGGTAATGTAGGGGCTTAAATACTTACTTTTTATAGCTATAGTAATATTGTCCCAAAACCCTATTCTAAGTGTGAAGGCCCTTACAGTAGAACCTAGCATCCTCCCGAAGCAACATGGAAACACAGCTCTAAACCCCTCAAACCCAAGATGCTCCAACAGAAACCACAGCCATTCGAAAACACACAGCCATCCCATTGCACACAAACCCCCTTTACAAAACCTTATATCAAGGTTAAAGGTATAGAGTTTATAGGGTTTAGCAGCGGTGCAGGATTTAGGGTGTGCCTGCTCAGGGACAGCTTCTCGCCCCTTTGGCCTATCTCCACGCACGCCGCCTGGGTCTTAGACAACCCGAATGACCATCTCGGGATATACGATTCAGGGCTGCTGCCGCCCCCTCCTCCTCCTCCTCCTCCCGCCCTGCCCCATGGCATCTTGCCTGTCAAGTGTGTGGTCTTCTTGTTGTTTGGCCTTGTCGCCTCCCTCGCCCCCCTCCTCCGCTGGTCTTCTTGGTTGACACCGCCTCGCCTGTGGTGTGGTGCTTGCAGTCTTGCTTGGGTTGTTGATCTCTGCTCTCCCCCATCCTCCATGCTACGAATTGCTGCTGAACTGTTAGCAGACTAGAGTAGGGGGGACAGTGTGTTCGACAGAGATAGGGTTGCAGCCGTCTGTTAGTAGTAGTTTCATCGTTATGGTGCTCGTTACGTCGCCTTGTCCCCTTGCAAATAAATGGTGCCCCCGTCCCTGCTCTGATGCATGTCTCCCCTCTGCGCAGCACTGGCTGCCCTCGGCGGATCATTGCATCGACACCCGTCGACTCCGTCGTCCTCCCTCCCTATGTTTGTTCCTGCTCGCGGCGGCGATTCTCTTCCGAAAACGTTGACTACTTGGAGGTTCATGGGTAGTTATAAGTAGGGGTATAAGTCCCCTAATATGAGTTATAAGTATAGTTACCCTACTTATAACCCTACTTATAACTACCCATGAACCTCCAAGTAGCTTCACTCCGACGCCCCAAGTGCTAGCCTCATGGCACGACCTGCCGCAGTCAGGCTCCTTTGAAGCTCCAGAAGACCCCGATTGATGCTGACAAGACCTCCTAGAATACCTCCGTTTTCCGAAGTCCTCGCCTAAATCTTACGGAACCACCCTAAACCCTAATCCCTAAACCCTGAAGCGCTGGACCCTGAAGCCCTAAAGCCTTCTACGAACCCCCAAAATTTCCCCATAGCCCCAAAGCCCCAAAGCGAAAGCCATGCAGGTGTTGTGCACCGCGGCATCACTCCCGACAACCTTGTCGTCTCCTCCCTCGACATCCTTCGAGAGCGGTTTACGCCAGGGCCTTAACTTGCGATTTGGGAGTTTCCGAAAACTGGGGTACCATATTTTGGGGTCCTTATTATAAGGATCTTACTATTTCGGGTACAATATTAGGGTCCCCTATTTTCGGAAACTCCCATTTAGGGATTAAGGGGTGTAGGGGAGCCAGGCCTTGGATCAGTTTTAGACTGCCGGGTTGAGGGTTCAAGAGTTTGTGTATCTATGGTAAGTAGGGTTTTGCTGGCTTTGCAGAGGCTCGGGGTTGAGGGCTCCGAAACCTGACTTAAAACGGTATCAGACCCAAAAACCCTTCTACTTCTACAACCCCTCTAGCCTTTATCATGATTTCTAGAACCCATTATAAGAGCCCTTTGAAACTAGCCTTTATCAGGGTTCTAACCCTTTGAACCAGCCACAAAAAAGACGCCGATCTCTAGCCTCTACGCGAAGCCTCAGGCTGGTCATCGCCGACCTTTACTCGACTGCTCGGTGCATCGAGGCATCCCTACAGTTGCTGATATTAATGGGTGGTTGTCAAAATTAGGGTCCCTGTTTGGAGTCTTATTATAATGCGGCACCTTATATTGTACCCAAAAAGGGGCATAATTTTGACAACCACCCACATCCTGCATTACCTTAAGGATCCTAAACTGTGGGCATTATGGTATATTCCTTATTAGGGGTAATGCAGGATTTATATCATCAACCGTATGAAAGACTTCGGGCTTCGGAGATTCGAAGCATGGAGGTTTGGGGCTTAGGGCTTGGGGCTTTCCGGGCCGTGAGAATCAGGAATAGGAGACGCAGAGGGATTGAAGGCAGACTGTGGTGCCCTGTGGGGCGCCTCCCCAAACTCACGCATTAGATTGAGTCGGGTACTGGACGAGAAATCTGGCAGAAGAAGCAACGATGTATTATACATCCTCCGCGCCAGTATGTACAGTGGTTGCAAGGGCCTGCCGCTTTATCTTCGATTCTTGTAGCAAACCGCAGCTCGTGTCGATGCGAATGTCGAAAGGCGAAGGCATGCTTCATGCAGAACTGCAGCAGGACTATCGTCGTGCATTCCTTGAGGTTCCGTTTCCCCATGCGGCCATGTATCCCGGAACTGGGGCTCTAGCAATGCGCCTACATGCTCAGCGGATCTACGCGTGCTCGATCCAGAACCCTCAGACTACTACTAGTCACTAGTCGCTAGGACCCTCATGTTAAGGTGTAGGTGCTGCAACAGGGGAAGGAAAAGGCTTTTGGCGTTGGGACGGTGAATCTGTAACATGGGCTAGGGTTTTGTAGGGTATGCAGCAGTTTTAGGCTGCGTCGGGCTGCTCTGCATGACAATGTACTCAGGGGCTGTTGGTGTCAGCGCTCCAATGCATAGAAACAGCACCTGCTGGTGAACCTAAACCGTGAACCCTTCAAAACTCTCTAGCAAAGTAGCCTTACGCTCTGAGCTTTAGACCCTGTATGGCCTTGGTTTAAAACCGATACTTACCTTAAACCCTGCACCCATGGCCCCTAAACCCTAAACCGTGAACTCTAAACCCTAAACCCTAAACCCTGAACCCTAAAACCTAAACCCTAAACCCTGAACCCTAAAACCTAAACCCTAAACCCTGAACCCCTAAACCCATGGCCAGGATGGTGCGTGTCTGTCGGAGGTTATCGGGTCTCCTGAGACTCTCGGTCTGAAAAGCTCCTGGTGACTACGTAAAGCTTTGTTGCGTAGCTTCTTCGCCTTGGTGTGAAATTATGGCCTTATAGTTTGGGTACGGCCCCCACTCAGTAATAGTTGTAAAATATGCAAAATATAGATATATTAGGACCGTAATAGTAGTCCTATTATGGACTCTTGCGGTATGGGGGCAGTTTCGCACTTATAGTTCTGTTGCTTTGGGGTTCGGATGGCAGTGTTTTCGGCGGTTTTTCAGGTTGTGGCATTTTGCGTTTGGGTCGTTGGGATTTTGGTTATGTGTTCACTGCTTGTGGCCTGGGGCTTTTTTTCATCAGGCCGCCGTGGTCGAGCAGTTCAAGTATTACGAAGGTTAGACGAACGGGAAAAGGTGAGTAATATAGGGTTTGGACAATTTGTCATCCTACCCCCTTATAGTCAAAGTCATCATAACACTAGACCGTAATCGTTGAGACTTCTAATGTACATATTGTGGCATTGTGGCAAGTAAGATGCAACAGCTGTACATACTGTGGCATTGTGGCAAGGGACAGCTTCGTGTACGCGGGATGTCTACACTCCTTTCGGCGTCCATTTTCGTTAAGCATCAATCTTGCGTACAGTTCATAAATCTGCTCCTCCACAGAACATTACAAGTTCCAGCTCCACGGATCTTCCCAACACACACTGTGCCTGTATGCACTCAGAATCCTACGCCTCAACCCCAACCCCCACCCTAAAATCCACATCTCCACAGCCCCGGAGCCACGTGCCGTGAGCGCCCAAAACCCGAGAATCTCAGCACCCAACAACCTCACATACCTGCACCCTCCGGCTTCCAACCCTAAACCTTCCAGTTGGTTCAAACTCTCGGGACTTCAGAAAGTTTCGGGGTTCAACTTTTGAGTCTAAAGTTCAAGAACTCCTGCAGTAAAGGCATGGTGGAAGCTGAACCATTGAACGACTACGTTCTTAGCATGAAGAGCCAAGAACACGGGCTTAACTCTTGGCATTCCGGCCTCGGGGCTCTAAACCCTAACCTGGGTTGTCCTTTGGGATCTTTTTTAATTTCCCCTATTATTTTGTAGAGAACCATAATAGTAAATAATTTTCAAAGGGCTTAAAGGACAACTCAGTAACCCTAAGCCACAACTAACCCTAAACTAGGTAGGGCTTTGGGGCATTTTATATTTTCCATTATTGGGTATAAGAGGATCTTATTTACTAATATTTTTCAAAGGCTTTAAAAGCTCCACCTAGTAAACCACTGTCCTTTGGGATCTTTTTTAATTTCCCCTATTATTTTGTAGAGAACCATAATAGTAAATAATTCAGTAACCCTAAGCCACAACGAGCTTGAGGTACTGGGCACCGGAGCTGGCGGCAGGGGGGCTCAGTGCAGCAGAAGTGGGTTTGTTCCAAAGTAAGCCTCGGGGGTTTGGTTTAGGGGTTTACGTGCATCTGGATTCGGTGTTTAGAGCTTCAGGATCCAGCGTTACCTTGCAGGTTCAACGAGCGAGGCAAAACCAAAAACCCACAAACCCCGAGCTCAACGCCCGAAAGCCAAAACCCCAAAACGCCCAACAGTCTCCAGCTCCTAGGGCGTGTAGGGTGGGCGGTTTCGGGTTTAGAGATCGCAGTATCAGCTCGAGGTATTGCATGCTTCGGGGTTTAGCGTTTCGGGTTTTCAGGACTCCGGTAGAGAAGCTTTACGTGCCAATAGGATCCTTACTGCAAAGACCGCTGAAATGAGGACCCTAGTCATGGGGCGTGCGATTATCGTGACATGAATTAGCCTTGACATATTCGACATATTCCAGGTTGTTCATTGAGATACTTAAAATCGAGTCATGAAGGCCTGCTTGCATTGTCTGGGTTTAGCCATTAAGACAGATAAACTCAGGTCATGAGAAGGGTTTTGGCATTGCTGTTCCGTGATTCAAAAAGATCAGAGAGGTATCTAATGCCACGTCGTCGCAATATTGAAGGGTGCAGTCACTATAGTGTACGCGCATCCAAGGTTGTGGTGATGACCCCCTCTCCCACAACCATACATCGAGGGAGATAGGGTTTATGGGAATCAAGGCATTTGGGTAAGACATTCCTCACCCCGTTTGTATCCTCAGAGATGCAATCGATGGTTTCGGTGTTTCAGGCTTTCTAGAAGCAAAGCCTCGCACCTGTCTATGTTGTAGCATCTTCGCCGCTGGCCCCAAGTCTTCGCACAAACGATCCTGCATCTGTGCTGCTTGCTGAGGAGTGCGAGTACAGCTACCCTGCAGATGTGTGGGCACCAGCCTCATTCCCACACCCTAAACCCTGAACCCCAAACCCTTAAACCTTAATCCTAACCTCAAATCCTAAATGCTGAAGACCCTGAACCCTAAACACTAGACCCTGAACCCTGAACCGCATAGACCCTGAACCCTAAACCCTGAACCCTAGACCCTGAATCCTCAACCATAAACCCCATAGACTCCGAACCCTAACCCTAGATCCTAAACCCCTAAACCCCTCAGCATTTACGACCTCTGCGCCCCGAAGTCCTGAACCCAAACTTCTCAAGTGGAGCCGTTTCGGGCTTCGGGTTCCAGGCTTGAAGATTTTTTCCCCCCCAAAACATCCCAGAAACCCTGGGCTCATAACCCCAAAATAGTAGGGTTCGTATAAAGGAGCCCGAATAAAGGCCCAAGGTTTCTTAATCAGGTTCCTAGATGAGTTGTTAAATCAGGATTCAACAATTTGGCGTCTAGTGATGCTTGGTTAGGATTCTGCTTGAGAATCGTGTTGAGTAGCATGTTTTCAATCAGGCTGGCACATGAGCGAAGCTCATAAGGTAACCTACCTCAACAGTGCTCAACAGGGCCGAGAGAAGCTACGCAAAGTATCGTCTTAAACCCTACACCCTAAACTGTCGAGTCCTGTTCAAGCACCCTTCCCTCAGCGCCATCAAGCTCCAACTGTCGGGCCAGAAGAAGCGTCAAACCTGGAACCCGCACCCGCCGAAACGGGGCACCCGAACTCCTGAGAACTCTGAGTACGAGTTGACGCCGCCTTACTCGAAACTTGCTACACACAGTTGTCTATCGCATTTCTGGTTACCTGACTATGTCCTGGTCCGTACGTGTCACTGCCAGGCAGCGGGTGTGGTGTTGTGGTTCGCTGTGGCCAAGCGCTACGCTCAGACTTGCGATGCATATTCGGATATCGACAACATCTGCAGCTATGGCGAATTCCAAGCCAGAATTCCTTCTGAAACTGTTCTCCAAATCCGCATCCCGCCCCGAGTGACAGGAAGTTGCCTTTCCAGAGTCTGGAGACTGTCCTCCTTCGCGTGCGAGCCTCAGCACAGAGACCTGGCATGTGATGCGGGGCCCTAAACCCTAAACCCTAAACCCTAACCCCTAAACCCTCTTGCGCTTATGGGTATCATAACGTCCCGGCTTGAAGTTCAGAGACGGGGGCTGCTTAGGCTCAGGGGCATCTGTGAGTCATCACTGCTGGAGTCGAGGTTTACAGGGGCTGCCACGATTCGACGGAGGTTTGATAAAGTGTTGTCGGATTGTTTATGGTTTCTAGGGCGCTGAAAAGCATGAATCTCCCGAAACTTTTTTACTGAGCCTTAAACCGAATCCCTGAACCCCAAGCACTGAAGCCATGAATACGGCACGAATCAGGCCCAAAACCCGCACGCCCAGCCAATCACCATGGACCCAAACCCTGAAGCCCCTTCCCCGAATATCCGAAACCCTGGGCTGCAAAGCTGTGCTCCTTCACAGGACCTGGAACCCAATGCCCGTGTGGCACCCGAAGCCTATGATGGCCTCTCTCAGCTTCTCAGACACGACCTCAGCTTGCTTCTTGAGAGGTTCGTCGATGGGAGGACAAACGGTACAGTGGATGTCAATCCTGGTACTGCCAGTTTCAGAGTATATAAGGACACAGGTCTGGGGATTTTAAAGATCGCGGGTGTCAGGGCTTAGGTACAGGGCTGCGGGCCTACTGCAGGTTGGATGCACACAGCAGGATGCTTTTCAAAGCCTCGATAAAGCAAGATTGATGCAATAGTTGCCGTTGTACTCACAAAGAACTCAGATGCCGTGCGTCAGTGTCTCTGTTTGTCCTTTTGCTCTGTGTTCTCTTGTTGATTGCTTTGGCTTGAGTTCTCGTGTGCCAGTCGTGAAACCCAATACACACAGTCGAGGCCGTGATGTTGAAGGCAGAGCGACCGCCGAAGAGGCGTGGGGGTTTTGGCTTGATTGCCTTCAGACTTCAGTCCATGTGACGTGTACTTTATGGGGATGGGGTTTCAACATAACACAATCCATTATGTTATTGGGCTCACACGGCTGTGCAAGGTTTCCAATCTCCTAGGCTTAGCTTAGTGCTTCTGCCGTAGAATTAGATGTGTCTTGCCTAGGTTGTCGAAACGCGACCACGACCACGACCAAGGCCACCACCACCACCGCCGCCGCCGCCGCCACCGCCACCGCCTCCGCCCCCACCACCGCCACCGCCACCCCAACCAAGACCACGACCACGACCACGACCACGACTACGACTACCACTACAACTGCAACTACAACTACGACGACGACTACTACTACGACTACGACGACGACTACGACTACGACTACGACGACGACGACTACCACTACGACTACGACGACGACTACGACGACGACTACGACTACGACTGAGACTACGACGACGACTACGACGACCACAACTACTACTAAGACTACGACGACTACTGCTACGACTACTAACACTAGCACTGGCACAAGCACCAGCATTGGCACAGCACAAGCACTAGCATTAGTGCCAGCAATAGCACTACACTAGCACCAGCACTAGCACCGGCACCCTCACTAGCACGAGCAAGGGCGCTAAAACTAGCACCAGCGCCAGCACAAGCACCAGCACTGCGACTGCCACTACCACTACAACTAGCACTTACTACTGCTACTCCCCTCCTCTTCCTGCTGCTGCTGCCTCTTCGACGACAGCGACGACCACGAGGACGAAGACGACAACTACTACCCACAAGAATAACAAGCCACAATAAATTCCCTTGGAAACCCGATGAAGTCCTGTAAAGCTGATGGAAGGCATTGCGGCATGAGTGGATCCTCGAGAGCCAAAACGGACCCGCCATGATCTCTGCGGCTTCCCGGCGGGGCGCAGCTACTCGGAGCAGAAATCGGGTTTCAGATGGCACCCCTAAGCCCTGGACCCCAAACCCAGCAACCAAGGCACCCTGAACGCTGAACCGGCTTCAGGGCTGTAGATTTCGGCGATGACTCCTGGTGCCCCCAAACCGTTTAGGCAATTTGTGGTGCAGCTCGAAGCTGAAACAGGTTCGTGTTGCTATGTTGATATTTCTCTTGGTTGAGGCCCATCAGGATGACGGATTTGCAGTTCGCTGGCAGGACACCATCAGAGACATATCCAATATGTAGCCACGCTCGCAGGATCGGGGTTCAATACCTTAATACCCTAATGCCGTAAGGGTTTCAGGGCGTACGCTGCAGCCGCCGTGCTCCCTTCCACATGCCGGCACGCCAACTGAGCTCCAGACCCTGATGAGCAAAGTAGTGAGCACCTCCAACGCGATGAGCCGTAATGTATGGGCCTAGGCCTAGTTCAAAAGTAGGAATAGAGTTTGGGGGTATATTACTATATTACAGTATAAGCATACATACAGGGATGATACACTGATATACTATTGGTCATGCTATTCCGACCTTTTGCTTCCGAATTGGCCTAAACCCTACTTATCCGCTGCCTCGCGGGCCCCCTGCACGGAGGGCCCTCCCTGGATCGAGACAGCCCCGGAAAACAGAGCGTAGAGCCTATCTGCTCAGACCTAGGTGACTGTGCAGAGGGGTCCTTCCGTGCCGCGTGTCGCTACGGACGCCTGCACACAGACCCTATCCGAGACCCCCATCCGTCTGGAGATAAGGGGAGCAGAGATCTACCCCAGAGCCGCAAGGAGTCCATATTATGGGTTCCTACCATGAACCATGTACACGGCTGTTTTTCTGAACCCTACTCCTTTATTGGGGGACCCAAGACGTGAACTAAATCCTCACGTGGAGGTTACCACGGCTTCGTCGGAGAACGTGTCGAAGGGGTTGGAGGGTGCAGATGACCAGAGGGACGACAGTGACGAGCTTTGGCAGCATCCTAACGGGACTCTTGAAGCTTGAGTGCGAGGATAAGTTTCGGATGGGGATTCAGGCACAGGTTTTAGAATTAGCGTTCGGGGTTTCGGGAGTACGGTTTGGAGATTCGTGGTTAGGGTTTCACGTTTGCGGAGTCTTCGGGCGGTCTGGGCTTTAATGCTTGTTCGAGGCTTGCAAGCTGAGCCGAAGAAGCGATTGGATGTTTGAGTTCTACTTGGAGGTTCATGGGTAGTTATAAGTAGGGTTAGATACTTATCACCCAACCCTACTTATGACTACCCTAATCCCTAAACCCTATAACCCTATAGATCCCTTTAAAGGAACCCTACCTATAACCCTACTTATGACTAGCCATGAACCTCTAAGTAGAGTCCAGGGCCCCGGGGGTTCCGGCTGCAAGTCTTGAAGTGGCTCAGGGATCTCTGGTTTGCTAGGACTGATACTGTTGATGGACGAAATCCTGCATGACCCTACGGACTCTAAACTGTGGGAACTATGGTATATTCCTTATAAAGACTAAGGCAGGATTTTGTCCATCAGCAGTATCGTTCTTCGTGCCTACAGACTGACATGAAAAGCTATGAAGTCGGAATCATAGTGAAATTGTTTCCTGCCAGTGCAGCTGGAGGATTCCGAGGATAGCAAGGCGACGACTGGGCCAATTTGTATCTTTACGAATCGTACGAAGACAGTTCTGGCCCTGAGAAGATACTCAAGGCTGATGAAGAGCTGGGACGGTTTGCCAAAACCAAGCAGAGCCGGGGCCCAAAACCTCAAATCCCTAGACCCTTAATATAGGGGCCTTAATATATCAGCATCTATCATAAAGAGAACACGAAGAAGAATTGTACCATGCAGGACAACACAGTAGCAGTCATGGCGAAAGTCACGGCTCAAAGAGTACGCATTGCAGTGATAGCGCTGCAGATGAAGAATAGCGGCAATACCCAGATTTCGCATGATCTGTACTGCTAAAGAGGGGAACGCCAACAACGACCAAAGAACCGTCCTGCTAACCATCAGAGTGACGATCGCGTGTACTCAATGAATGCAAAATCCGCATTCACAGTAGCAACACTGCTGATGGACCTCATTCTGCATGCTGATCTATCCATATTGTAAGAAGGAAATGCCGCAGCTCCCATAGTCTGTGATGCTTCAGGGTAATGCAGGATTTTTCCTCATGAGAAGTACTTGGCATTCTGCCGGGTTCTTGTTACCATAACAAAGAAACCATACTATTTATCATAGATCCCTATCATGGTAACTTATATGGGTGGTTGTCAAGAAACTATGGTCCCTTCTTGGGTCCTTAATATAATACGGCACCTAATATTTAGGGTACCCGAGAAGGGGCCATAATTTTGAGAACTAACCAGAAAAATCAAATCCCTTCACTAGAAACCCGTTTGCCCTAAGGCCCCCAAAGTAGCTCCTTTTTGGGGTTCATATTTAGAATCCTATAAGGTAATCCCAAAAAGGAACTACTTTGGGGCTTATGGGTAAACCACCCCCTAAACCCCTAAACCCTAAACCCCTAAACCTTAAACCCTAAACGCTAAACCCCTAAACCCTAAACCCCTAAAACCCTAAAGCCCTAAACCCCTAAACCCTTAACCCCGACCTCATAGATCCCTTATCGAACCCTCCCTGAGTGAGGATGACACCGACCCGCCGAGTAATGCCTCGAGCATGATCTTTGCGCCGCGTGCCGCGGCTGAGTGGGGAAAGGGCGATTCAAGTCGGTTTCAGAGTTTAGGGTTTAGGGTTTAGGGGTTTAGGGTTTAGGGTTTAGGGTTTTAGGGTTCGGGGTTTAGGGTTTATAGGGTTTAGGGTTTATAGGGCTTAGGGTTTAGGGTTTAGGGTTTATAGGGTTTATGGTTTATAGGGTTTAGGGTTTAAATATAGGGTTTAGGGGTTTAGGGTTTAGGGTTTTAGAGTTTAGGGTTTATAGGGTTTAGGGTTTAGGGTTTAGGGTTTAGGGGTTTAGGGGTTTAGGGTTTAGGGTTTTAGGGTTTGGGGTTTAGGGTTTATAGGGTTTAGTGTTTATAGGGCTTAGGGTTTATAGGGCTTAGGGTTTATAGGGTTTATAGGGTTTATAGGGTTTAGGGTTTAGGGTTTAGGGTTTAGGGTTTAGGGGTTTAGGGGTTTAGGGTTTAGGGTTTTAGGGTTTAGAGTTTAGGGTTTATAAGGCTATACGGTTTAGGGTCTGGGACTGGCAACGCTATAACCTACTTCAAAACCCTCAGCCATTAAAACGCACAACTGGGAATTTGGCCTGAAGCCACAAACGCCAAGCGCCAAATCCTGCAACCTGCAATCCTGTGCCCGGCAATTGTCAGGGTAAGTTTAGCTTGCAGGACAGAGCTCATTAATAATGCCTGAGTGAAACACTAGTTTGTATCCATATAGCTCCTTCCAGAAATCCATTTTGCCAACCCTGCTGACTAAGTCAAGCTGGCTTCAAGAGCTATGAGTCTCAGGCCAAAGCAGTCGGCATAGCCTAAAGCTCCAATTCGATAATGATGATGTATTCCTCGGTATTTAGAGGGTAACATTTGTATTGACGCATTTCAGCCAATGGTTCTGCTTCTTCGGTACTTCCGTTCTGATTCTAATACATTCACAGTCTACCGTTTCTCCGCGTGCCTTGTATTTATTTTCAGTCTTTTGAACTCAGGTCGAACAACTTGATATTTATTGCCCAGAATCTCTCGTAAGGTTTGGGCACTCGCCAGTACAATTTGCATATGCCGTGCGTGAAGTATCCGTGTTGTCTTTCGCATCATTTTCTCTGCCAACTCAAGAAAATTAGTTTTCCTCCATGTCATGCAATTCGCGAAAATCTAGTTTTGTCATTCTCAAGGTTTTATTTATGGCGGTGGTGCCTTCCAAGACTACCTGTATCTTCTGTTGTAGTTGCCTTGTCTGCTCATCAAGGAACCCATAGAACGGTCAACCAACTAACGAAACTCTCTCTCTCTCTCTCTCTCTCTCTCTCTCTCTCTCTCTCTCTCTCTCTCTCTCTCTCTCTCTCTCTTTCTGTCTATATATATATATATATTATTATATTATAGTATAGTATAGTATAGTATCTTATCTTATCTTATCTTATCTTATCTTATCTTATATTATACTGTATTATATTATATTATATTATATTATATTATATTATACTACATTGCATTAAATTATATTATATTATATTATATTATATTATACTACATTGCATTATATTATATTACATTATATTATATTATGTTATTTTATATTATATTATATCATATTATATTATATTATATTCGTTTATGTACCCATGTGTGTATGTATATATACATATATATATATATATATGTATATATATATATATATATATACATATACACATGTATAGACATGTGTATATGTATGTACATGTGTATATGTGTGTGTATGTGTGTACAACAACATATGTACGTGAACATATTCATAGATAGATATCCGTACACATACAGCTATACATATAAAGATATATGTCTGTATATATATATATATACCTACAACATATATGAGTAGGCATGTTATTACGACTGCTTTCACTTTCAATTCGTAAGGCCTTCCCTTTGTCTTCGCTTCGTCCCCAAGACCTGGTCCGGGTCCACAAACCATGGAGACTCTAAACCGTAAAGAGGAAGATGAACCTTAAAGAGGAAACTGAACCTCAAAAAGGAAAGTGAACCTTAAAGAGGAACCTGAACCTTAAAGTGGAAACTACAACACCCTAGCTAAATCTGATTACTAAGCGTCAGAGGTGATCTGCTCTTGAGCCCGCTCTCCGAGAAGAGGGTGCAGTCGAGGATCATTGGCTTCAGAACTTCAGGGCACGTAAAGTTCAAAGCGGCCCCCAACCCCGAAGGGCCCTAAGGTCCAAGCTCTAAATCCCTTTTACCCATTATACAGCCCCAAACTGGAATGAGGGGGTTCATTCGTGTTCTGCGTTTTCTCTTGGGTTCCCAGTGTTTGCATGTCAGTACCATCAATTTCCCCCCGACCGACACCGCCCCGCACGACCCACCGTGGCCGCTGACGCCGCAACTACAGTCGCTGCCATCTCCACGGCCACCGTCACTATCATCCTGCAGAGTAGCAGATGTGACCGCAGGTTTTGCATGCCAGGGACTAGGGGAATCGTAAGCAACACCGTTGATGGATTTGGGGGTTGATGGTGATCATTCTGCTTCGACTTTTTCAAGCCGCAAGATGTTTGCCTCGGTGGTGGAGCAGAAGCTGGGTTCTCCCTTGAGTAGCCATAATAAGAGAACCATGCTGTTTGTTTTAGATGACTATTTTGGTGAGTCGAATTAGAACCCTTGACAAGACGGAGCTGTAGTGGGTTCCGGGGGATCCCAGCAACGACAGCAGTAGCAGTTGTCGTTGTGGCCGTCATCGTCCATGCTCTTTCGTCTTGGAAGGTCCTTTACTTGAGCCCGCAGTAGAGCGAACCTTTAGTCGAATCCTTGTAGAACCCTTCGGAACCCTGGTGGATGCCCCAGTATACAGTCTTATCGGCCTTCATCGAAACCCTATAGTATGGCCCTCATAGGACCATAGGACCTGTATAGCACTCATATATAACGCGTAGACAGCCTCTACAGTACCCCTAATCAACCCTAAACCCTAAACCCTAAACCAATGCAGGACGAGCCCGACATCTCCAGAGGATCTGCGCCAGGCCAAGCAGAACGGGACGTTTACTGCCAGGGACAGACACACACACACTTGGGAGCTTCTAGATCTGAGAAGAGGGGAGTTCCCTATAGCAAGGATCCTAGGGCCCTAACCCCAAACCCTAAGGTTAAACCCTAAGCCCTTTGTTCGGGTTTCAAGACTGTCTGCATCGCATCGTTGCAGTGTTCAGGGCTTGAGACCCCAAACTTACTCCCCACAGCATAAGGCACCCGCCGATCGCGAGTAGCCCTTCAGGACGTATTTGCTGGTGTTATGGCCAGGGCTATGTTGGTTTGTTGGTCTTTGTGTTCGGAGTTCGCCCTTACGGGCTTGGGGATTCGAGTATCCAGCTTCTGTCTTCTGATGAATCCCTTATCAGAACTTGGAGGGTCATGGGTAGTTATAAGTAGGGTTATAAGTCCCCAAATATGAGTTATAAGTATAGCTACCCTACTTATAACCCCACTTATTACTACCCATGAACCTCCAAGTAGAGCCTCGAGCCGAAGCCTCCGAAAGCAACTCTACAGGCCGACAGGGTTTAGGGTTTAGGGTTATAGGGGTTATGGTTCAGGGTTGACGGGTTTAGTAAGGGTTTGGGGGTTAGGGGTTTAGGGGTTTAGGGTTAATTAGGGTTTTGTAATTTAGGGTACAAGCCTAATTCTTCAAGCTGTGACGGTGTCCTTTCTTTCATCATGGCTGTCGCATGAAAAACCTGGAGGCAAGCAAGAAAAACGACGAGCCGGGAGCCCCTGACTACACTGCCGCCACGACGACAACTACCCATGAATTGTTTGGACATCAACGGAAGCGTGTGCTCAGTAAACATAATGCAAGCCATCACGGCCACCGCCTCCACGAACACAACAACTACAAACACTGCTGCTGCTGCTGCTGCTGCTACTACGCCTGCTGCTGCCGACTGCCACTAGTCACTGGCTTAGCATAAAGCATGAGCAACTGCAACCAATGATGCTGATGATTCTTCTTGTGGCAGCTAGGCGTTTTCACAGGGACGATGACGTCTAAGTCAAGTTTGAGCATCAGTTGTGTTTGGCAGCAGCAACAACAACAGCAGCACCGGCAGAACCACATCGGCAGCAGCGGCAGCCTGAGCAACATCATCCGTAACATCATCACCGCCATCGTAACCATCTCATCATCACCAGCGCCATCACCATTATCACCATCACAATCACCGCTGTCCTTATCACCAGCCTTCTGGCATTGGTGTCCATGGCACGGGGAAGTCGATGTGGAAGGTTATACAAGAACACATAAACATTTGCATATGCTATGTGTGAGTAGACAGAACCAAAAAATATTGGTATACGTACATGCTTATGTATATACATGTATCTGAAAAACAAATACATATATAAGAATTTCGTATACATACATATGCAAAGGTATGTATGTGTATATATATATATATATATGCACATAAGTACACATATGTTCTCACACATGTACACCAAAATTAAACCCTAAACTCCAAGCCCAGAGAACATACTCATTGACCCGATTTTAACAAACCCCATCAGCTCTTTTCAAAACCCAAGCTCTTTAAACATCTAGCCCAAGCCTATAGCGCCCTGTCAATCGCTAAACGCTGAAGCGGCTGTTTTGCTTAGTGGTGCGCCCAGCTTAACGACTTCGTAGATGGTTGGTAAAACAAGTGAATGCTAAGTGTAGGCATGATTGATCTAAGCGCTTAACGACACTGTGACTGCCACACAGCAGGCCTAACTCCACACGAGCCTTTTGACAGTCAATGCCCCAACGGCATGGACCGGCTGTTTTGCTCAGTGGTGCGTCTGGCTTAGGGCGGCAGAAAAACCCAGTGTCGACCAGAGCAGTAAGGCCCGAACGAGCTACAACCACAACTATGACTGACTTTGAAGATGATCCTGTGACTATCGAGTCAGCTGGTGCCCGATCAAAAAATTGTACAAACGAAAATGAGAAGGCAAGAAAATTATACGTACATGCATATGTATGTACATGTATCTGAATAAACAAATACATACATAAGAAATTTGTATACATACATATGAAAAGGTATGTATGTATGTATGCATGTACACACACATAAGTACACATATGTTTATACACATGTACACCACTGCTAAAACCCTAAACTCCAAGCCCGGAGAACATACTCACTGACACGAACAAACCCCATCAGCTCTTTTCAAAACCCAAGCTCTTTAAACATCTAGCCCAAGCCTATAACGCCCTGTCAATCGCTAAACGCTGAAGCGGCTGTTTTGCTTAGTGGTGCGCCCGGCTTAACGACTTCGTCCATGGTAAAACCTGTGAATGCGAAGTGTAGGCATGTTTGATCTAAACGCTACAATGACACTGTGACTGCCACGCAGCAGGCCTGACTCCACACGAGCCCTTTGACAGTCAATGCCCCAACGGCAGGGAGCGGCTGTTTTGCTCAGTGGTGCGTCTGGCTTAGGGCGGCAGAAAAACCCAGTGTCGACCAGAGCAGGAAGGCCCGAACGAGCTACAACCACAACTATGACTGACTTTGAAGATGATCGTGTGACTATCGAGTCAGCTGGTGCCCGATCAAAAAACTTGTACGAACGAAAATGAGAAGGCAAGAAAACTATACGTACATGCATATGTATGTACATGTATCTGAATAAACAAACACATACATAAGAAATTTATATACATACATATGAAAAGGTATGTATGTATGTATGTATGTATGTATGTACACACACATAAGTACACATATGTTTATACACATGTACACCACTGCTAAAACCCTAAACTCCAAGCCCGGAGAACATACTCACTGACACGAACAAACCCCATCAGCTCTTTTCAAAACCCAAGCTCTTTAAACATCTAGCCCAAGCCTATAACGCCCTGTCAATCGCTAAACGCTGAAGCGGCTGTTTTGCTTAGTGGTGCGCCCGGCTTAACGACTTCGTCCATGGTAAAACCTGTGAATGCGAAGTGTAGGCATGTTTGATCTAAACGCTACAATGACACTGTGACTGCCACGCAGCAGGCCTGACTCCACACGAGCCCTTTGACAGTCAATGCCCCAACGGCAGGGAGCGGCTGTTTTGCTCAGTGGTGCGTCTGGCTTAGGGCGGCAGAAAAACCCAGTGTCGACCAGAGCAGGAAGGCCCGAACGAGCTACAACCACAACTATGACTGACTTTGAAGATGATCGTGTGACTATCGAGTCAGCTGGTGCCCGATCAAAAAACTTGTACGAACGAAAATGAGAAGGCAAGAAAACTATACGTACATGCATATGTATGTACATGTATCTGAATAAACAAACACATACATAAGAAATTTATATACATACATATGAAAAGGTATGTATGTATGTATGTATGTACACACGCATAAGTACACATATGTTTATACACATGTACACCACTGCTAAAACCCTAAACTCCAAGCCCGGAGAACATACTCACTGACACGAACAAACCCCATCAGCTCTTTTCAAAACCCAAGCTCTTTAAGCATCTAGCCCAAGCCTATAACGCCGTGTCAATCGCTAAACGCTGAAGTCCTAAAACGTGAAAACCCTGCAAGGAACAGCAGACTCCCAAAAGTAGAAAAAATCGAAAAGCAGCGAAAAGCTGCAAAGTACAGCAACAAGTGAAAAGTCGAAAAGCCGCGAACAGTCGAAAAGTACAGCACAACGCGAAAAGTCGAAAAGCCGCGAAAAGTCAAAATGTACAGCAAGGCGCGAAAACTTGAAACGCAACGATAAGCCGAAAAGCCGCGAAAAGTCGAAAAGTACAGCAAACCGCGAAAAGTCGAAAAGCCGAAAAGTCGAACAGTATGAATTTTAAGCGAAAAACGAGAAAAGTCGAAAAGCCGCGAAAAGTCGACAAGTACATCAAAACGCGAAAAGTCGAAAAGTCGAAAAGCAGCGAAAAGTCGAAAAGTACAGCAAAACGCGAAAAGTCGAAAAGCCGCGAAAAGTCGAACAGCGCAACAGAAGCGCGAAAAGCAGAAAAGTCAACAACTTTTCGACTTTTTGACTTTTCGAATTTCGTTTCGATTCTCCGCTCATGGAAACCAACGCCTGCTTGCGTACTTAGCAAGTGGCATTGCGATTATATCCACCACCATCATCTCCATCCTCAGCATCGTCATCATCAAGGTTAGCAGACGGCACCCACAGCATGTTGATCATCGTCGTGAATCATGCATGAGCAACTTCGCCACGAGGATGATGACCTTCAGGCTCAAAAGCATGATAAGGATTATTAGCATAGTAAACGCCATTGTCCTCCGTCCATGCATCGCATGACTTCTCGAAACCCCAGGCTTGCACCAAAGCCTAATTCGAAACCCCAAGTTCGAAGATGCAAGGAACTCGTCTTGGGGTCGGCCAACCTTGGCAGTGGCTGGGCTCAGACGGTTCCTTGGATGTGGGAGGACATTTAGTTGGTGCTAAACCCTAAACCCTAAGCCCTAAGGGAGCCCTAAACAAAACCCAAAGGGAGCCCTAAAAAAAAGAAACCCTAAGGGAGCCCTTAAAAAGCAACCCTAAGGTTTGGGCTTCTGGGTGTAGGGTTTGGGAAGTAGGAGGACACGGCTTCTCGGTGTACGCTTCAACGGTGGAAGTCTCAAGGCCTGACTTTTGGGTTGAACGTTTGGAGGTTACCCTAAGGCCCCAAAGTACTTCCTTTTTGGGGTTCATTTATTTAGAATCCTATAAGGTAATCTCCAACAAGGAACTACTTTGAGGCCTTATGGGTAGAGTCTGGTGTTTTGGGAATGTCAACTTCGGAGTGTACGGAGATCCAGAGTTGCAGATGAGGGTTTTAGCACTGAGTCTTAGTGCTGAGCGGATTGTGTTTGAACCAGTTACGTTTTTTTGCCTGCCTTCCTACAGAGTGCCCCAAATTTCTAAGATCGGCCCATCCGTTTCCCGAAGCTTTCTAGTGCTCATGACTTTTAATTATCTATTCAGCTGGATAAGCTGCCTGCTCAGTTGGCTGCTATGGGGGCCTTACCCATAGGTCCCACAGTAGTTCCTTTTTGGGATTACCTTGTAGGATTCTAAATATGAACCCCGAAACGGAACTACTTTGGGGCCTTAGGGGAACAATTACCTATAATATTGTGGGGTTTCCCGTGGTGTAATGGCCCCCGAACCCTGTTCTGATTACTCATGCCCTTATATTAGGGTTTAGGGTTTAGGGTTTAGGGTTTAGGGTTTATGACTGGATTTGGGGTATAGTTTGGGTATGGGTCTCATGTACAGTTGTTTCACACTGACGTTACCTTTTGGCTCAAGTGCGCGGTTGCTAAAATAGCGTTTCATGGTAGCGGAGCACCTGGTTGATGGTGCTTACCCTTCTCTTGCGTGCCGCTTGTGGTAGAAGGGCACGACCTCGTGAGGGGAGAAGGTGGATACACGATCCAGAGCGCGCACAGAGGAATTGGGTTCGGCTGCTAGCCAAGTTTCGGAAGGTACGAAAGTACCAGAGGTTGTTCCACAATCTGGGGCTTAGGCTTCAGGACTTCCCGCGGGGATTGCTGGATAGGATTTCGAGAATCCTGGGCGGCGTCGTACGGCGACGCACGCGGCTCTTTGGAAGGTAAGGCCCGGTTCGGGACTTGCCTAGGAAAGAGAGGCAATGGCGGGAGAAGGGCAAACAGGAGAGCAGCTCCTGATGAGGCTGCTGCAGACGCAGCAGGAGCAGATGGGACAACTCCAGAGATTGCTAGAGCAGAACCAGAGGCCACGCGGAACCGTGGTGGATACAAAGGCTATTGGCCGACCTGAGAAATTGGGAGGAACACTGGAAGAAGCCTCGCGTGCATGGCGCCAGTGGAACTACCGGCTGGAGCTTTGGCTCACGAGCCAGTTTCCGGAAACCCGGGCAATCCTGACTTGGGCTCGGACCCAAGATGATGAAATCGCCGTTGCCAGGCTGAGGGAACAGCTGGTGGATGGAGTGACTCCGGAAAAGGTTCAGGAGTTCAATCGACAACTGGAGGTAGTCCTGGGTACTTTGACTATGGACACCCCAGGGGATATCACGATGAACTCGAGCGCAGGATCCGGACTGGACATGTACCGGCGGCTCCATGGGAGATTGGATCCGACTGACATGGTCACGAGCTTTAGGTGGTTGCGGCAGCTCATGTCGACGAAGCCAGTTGCAGAAGTGAGCGACTTGATCGCTGCAGTGGAGAGATGGGAGGACCAGCATCGGAGGTATGCTGCCCGTCGGGACTGCACGGCGCTGACCGAGCGCCAGAAGATGGTTTCGTTGTTGGGAATGGTTCCCGCGGAGTTGCAGTCACACCTGGAGCTCAACCTTCCACGGCTCAACTCGTACGACCTTCTACGGAGGGAAATCGTGACTTTCGCCGAGAACCGCCGGGCATTCACTGTGGATGACTCCGGCGCAATGCCTATGGATATCGACTACGCCAAGGGGAAGGGGAAGGGAAAAGGAAAGGACAAGGAGACCCGTAAGTGCCACAAGTGTGGCAAAGTGGGCCATCTCGTAAAGGACTGCAGGAGCCCGATAGACATAAGGAAGAACAAGGATGCAGGAGGTGGTTCTAGTGGTTACCCCAAAGACCCCACCCCAGGAGGCAGAGGTAGTGCAGGGAAACCGCCGAAGGGTAAGGCTCAAGGTAGGGGCCGCGGCGGGAAAGGCAAGGGCGGACACGCCCGCGAGCTAGACGGCGAAGAGGAGGAGCCAGACGGCGAGGAACCTGAGCAGGAGGAGGACTACGAAGCCGAGGTGGGCTTCATAGGAATGCTCGAAGGCGAAGGAGAGGACCCGGGAAGGGGAGACGAGACGCCAAAGAAGCCGGAAAGAAAGGAAAAGAAAGAAAAGAAGAAGGAAAAAGAGGAAAAGAAAAGGAAGAGCCCAGAGGGCGACGACGAAGACTGGGGAACCTGGCGTTCCGACCCCAGTGTTCTGGCGCGGGATCGTCTCGAGACCCGCCAGAAGGGGGCAGGGCACGAGCAAGTGCCAAAGCCAAGGCAGCTGGCGGCACTTCCTCCATGACGGGGGTTGGGCTGCGGCTCCTCGAGGGCAACCTGGTGTCCGAGCTGCAGGCTCGCCAGGCCGAGCTCAACAGGGCCCTGGCTAGTGCCGAAGGTGACGAGGAAAGGGCCAACCTAGAAGCCCAGCTCGAGGAAGTCACCCGGCAGCTGAAGGAGCTTGTGGCTAGGGCTGCCAGGACGGCTACCGCTGGGAGTTGGAAGTCGTCGGCACGCTTCTTGGCTCGTCCGCTCGGGACGCAAGGCCAAGCTGGCCAAGAGGAAGGAGCTTAGCCGCCAGCGAGCGGCGAAGCACAGGCAAGCTTAATAAGGGCTTAATAGAGGCTTAATAAGGCTTTAATAAGGGCTTAATAAGGGCTTAATAAGGCCTTAATAAGGGCTTAATAAGGGCTTAATAAGGGCTTAATAAGGGCTTAATAGGCGCTCCAGCCGGAGTGGGATGGGGGGGGTGGGGGTGGGGTGGGTGGGGTGGGGTGGGGTGGGGCGGGTGGGGGGGGTGTGAGGAGGCGCGAAGGGGGGGCTGGGGGTGGGGTAGGGGAGTGTGGTGGGTCCGGCTCCCGGCTCCCTCCCCCTTCCCCCCCCGGAGGGTGGGGTGCCAGGGGGGGAGTAGTGTGTTTCCGGAAACCAGTTTCCGGAATTGTGTTTCCGAGTTCTAGGCTCGCGAAAAAGTTGCGCTGGACGAGGAGTGGCAGAAGAGGTACAACAAGCCGCTTAAGAAAGACGACGGCAAGAAGGCATCCTACCCGCTGATGCCGGAGAACACCGATCGAGAGGCAAGACCCTTGAGCAAGCGAGCTAGGAAAAACCTTTCGCCAAGAAGGTGCTGGGGACGACATCCCGGAGGAGCACGTTAGGGCTTGGCGAGAAAAGCCTAAGACTCCTGGGGAACGTGCTGGCAAGCGCCGCAGGGAAGCGGCCAGGAAGAAAAGAAAGGAGGAAGCTGCGAGCGGCAGTGCGGGACCCGTTTCGGGAACCGCAAGGGCCAAGGCCGCAGCCAAGCCAGAGGCTAAGCCCAAGGCAAAGCCTGTGCCCAAGGAGCCGCTTGGGCCACCACCTGCAAAGGGCGGGGGAGCCTCCGCGGAGGCGAGCCAGGCCCAAGCACTCTGCAAGGGTAGCCGAGGCTATCCGGACGGCGCCGTGGCGTAACGACGGCAAGTTGCCCAGGGAGCAGGGGAAGAAGGGTGGAAAAGAGAGCGGCAAGAAGGGCAGTGGTGGGACCCGTCTGGCAGGGGCTGAGGAGAGCCCTGGTGAAGAAGCTCCCGAAAGGGACGGTCGGAGTCGTTGCCGAGCGCAGGCTGCTGGACAGCGACTGCGAGAGTTGCACCTCTCGACGAGGAAAGGCCACGAAGGCCGCAGCAGCTGCCTACGCCAAGAGTCTTCTCCAGAAGAGGGAGAGGATGACGAAGGCGAGGATGAAGAAGTGGAGGTCGAGGTGGAAGAGGAAGACCCCGACGCAGACCACGTGCCACTGGGGGGAAGAGGTCCAGAGGACCCACCCGACGGAGAAGGCGGCCTGGAGGGCCGGGTTGGAACCGTGTTTTCCTTATCTGGGAATGGGGCCGCTTCGGCACCTTCCCGGAACCAGAAGCATCCCTCAATGGAGGTGATCCTGGACAGCGGTGCAAGCCACAACGTGCTGCCAGACAAAGTGTACCAGAAGCTCTTCGAGGAAGGGAGGGCCACAGCCTTGAAGGAGGTGAGTTCGCCACTTAAGTTTTCCACGGCAAGCGGGGAGAGTCTGCCCAACCTGGGCACAACGGAGTTGCTTCTGAGTGGCCCGTCTTCGGATGGGAGGGCCACCAGGTGCAGATGCATCTTCAACGTGGCAGCTCTGCAGCGCTGCCTCCTCTCCACTGGTCGTGCGATGGACCGTGGCAACGCCTTGGTCTTTGCAGGTAAGGAGGCCACGCTGTACCTCCCGAATGGGAGTTCTTTGGTCTTCCCGGTGCGCGGGAGCCCTCGCGCGTCGTTCCGTGTGCTTCCGGTGCACTCGCACCCTCCACGGCTGCTGCCTACAGCGTAAGCCCGGCTACCAAAGGCTTCAAGCCAACAAAGAGCTTTTTAAGGGCCCTGGAAGGGCTAAGCATCCCTGAGGGATGCGCTTCGCTGCAAAACTTGTTGGGAAAGGACCTTGAAGGTAGGAGCCGTAGCTGTAGAGCCGTTTCGTTTCACCCAGAACAGAGCCATTTTGGCGCGGTAGGAAGGAAAAAGGCCGAAAGTGCCTGTAGGGTAGGAGTGTCTGAGACCCTAACCCCGGTTGGTTTAGGTGGTTTGGTTAAAGGAAAGGAGAGGAAGGAAAAGAAGGAAGGAGGAGAAGAAAGAAGGGCGGCAGGCGCCGCAGCTGAGTACTACAACCTCTTTCCGGAGCCGGAGGTGTTCCCGATCCACTCTGACGGTGAAGAAGACGAGGCCCGACCGTTTGGGGATGGTGAGCCACGCCAGGCGGAGCCCGCTTCGGGATCCGCCCAGCCAGGAGGCGACGAAGCACAGCGTGCGAAGCCACTTCGAGCACCGCCTGTGCCCACGCCTCAAATGGTTGCTGAGCACGAGGTGGCACATATCCCTTACCGATCGTGGTACCCAGCATGTGTAGCTGGACGGGGGCGAGCCTACTCGCACCACCACGAGGGCCGAGACTCCACAGTGCCTGTGGTATCAGCTGACTACCTGTACTTCTCCGAGAAGGGAGTACCGGGAAAGAGCCTGCCAACAGTTGTCTTGAGGGACCGTGCCTCAAAGGCCATCTTCTCGCATCTGCTGCCAACTAAAGGGACGGTAGGTTCGACCTATCCTGAAAAGGCGGTGCTTCGAGATTTGAATTGGCTGGGGTACAAGCGCTTGGTTCTGAAGACGGACCAAGAGAACGCGATCAAGGCATTGGGGGCAGCTGTGAAGGCTGGTTTTCCAGAGGACTTGACTCTGGAAGAGTCGCCCAAGGGAGACTCTCACGGGCAAAGCAACGGCACAGCTGAGAATGCAGTGCAACGTGTGCAGGGACAAGTGCGCACGATGAAGTATGCCCTGGAGCAAAATGCTGGAGGAGAACTACCCAAGGACTCGGTTATCTTCCCTTGGATGATCGAGTACGCAGGGGTGCTCCACACCTTGTTCTCTCAAGAGGACAGCGAGGGCATGACTCCGTTTCAGAAGCTGAAGGGCCGAACCTGGCAAGTAGCTCTTCCAAGCTTTGGAGAAATCGTGGACTATCGCCGAAGGGCGAAAAGCAAGCTTGATGCCAGATGGCAAGAAGGAGTCTACCTAGGACTGCGGCTTACGAGTTCGGAGAAGATTATCGGGACGCCCTCGGGTATCCTGGTGGTGCAGTCTATCCGAAGGAAGCCTGCAGACAAGCAGTTCAATCTCGAGATGCTGAAGGCTGTGAAAGGAACTCCCTGGCAGCCTAATCCCGAGAAGAACACGAACGCCGATGCAGACAGACTCCCGGAGCCTATTGTGATAGAGCCCGTGGTCGAGCAAGCAGAGCTTCCACCGAAACCTGGAGACGCCGAACGGTTGCCTACGTATCGGAGAATGTACATCCGACAAAGCGACCTGGAGCAGTTTGGCTATACTGGGGGTTGTGAGGCCTGTGCCGCCATTCGCGAAGGCAGAGAACGCCAAGGTATCAACCACAACGAGACGTGTAGGAAGCGGATCCAAGAGGCGCTGAAGGACACCTCTCGGGGCCAAGCCCGCCTAGAGCGAGAAACTCAGCGCGAGACCGAGTACTTTACGAAAGTCCACGAGGCAGAAGAAAAGAAGAGAAAGGCTGCAACAGAGAAGGAGAAAAGGCCTGAGGCAGGAAGTGCAGAGGCGAGCGAGCCCAGCCAACCTAGCAGGCCACCAGAGCAAGCAGCAAAGAAAGTGGAGAAAAGGAAACCCTCTAAAGCAGAGCCTGTCTCCGTTTCGCGAGAGGGTAAGAAGCCAGCAGTTACCGCTTCGGAAGCTGCTTCGGCGAGCAAACGGAAGAGCGAGGACCCTGGAGACCAAGAGAGGTCCGAGCTGAGGCCTGCAGAGGACCGAGCAGAAGGCTCTAAGCGCAAGGCTGAAAACGTCGAGGGAATGATTGAGACGCTTATTGCTGGAGAGCGAAAGGCGTGGATTGAATCCCTGGAAGGAGTCGAACAGCCTACCTGCGACCTGGTTGATGGTTTAGTGGAAGAGGTTCTTGCGGAGACCTTCTACGACGACCTCACCGGGAAAGAGCTTCCAGCTGAAGGTGTTAAAGCAGCCCGGGCAGAGGAAGTGAGCGTCATCAGGCAGATGGGAGTGTGGGAAGTCATACCCCGTCCTGCAAACGAGAAGGTGATCGGTACGCGATGGGTGGACATCAACAAGGGGGATGGTGCCCGTCACAAACTGAGATCCAGGCTTGTCGCTCAGGAACTCAAAAGAGCCCGCGGACCGCAACAACCAGAGGACCAGTCCACTTGGAGCGATTTCTTCGCTGCAATGCCGCCACTCAGTTCTCTTCGGGCGCTATTTTCCTTAGCGACTACACAGCGTGTACCCAACACTCGGGGAAAGCTGTTACCCGTTGGGTCTGGAGGCGAAGTCTGTCTTATGTTTCTGGATGTGAAGAAAGCTCACTTTTGGAGCCCTGTACGCCGGAGACTCCTTGTGGAGCTTCCACCAGAAGCTGGAGAGGGACGAGACAAGGTTGGACTTCTGAAGCGTTCCTTGTATGGGACCAGGGATGCACCTTCCAATTGGGAGAAAGCCATCAAGGATGCTCTGGAGGGCTTGGGCTTCAAGCAAGGAAGAAGCAACCCATGCCTGTACTTCCACGAGGAGAAATCTTTGCGACTCAACGTCCATGGAGATGACTTCACAGTGGTTGGAAGCTACAAAGAGCTCAAGTGGCTAGAGGCTGAACTGGGCAAGGTTTGGACAGTAGAGACAAGAGGCATCCTGGCTAGACCCGGTTCGGAGCTGCCAGGCGTGATTCATCAGATCTCTGTCTTGAATCGCCTAGTGACGTGGACCCAAGAAGGCATCGAGATGGAAGCCGACCCAAGACATGTGGACTTAGTTCTGGAACAGCTGGGTCTGGAGAAAGGAGTTTCTGTGACCACTCCACTGGTCAAGGTGAAAGAAGAGGACATGGACAAGACTCCACTTGGTACTGCTGAAGCAGCTCTGTACCGTTCTATCGCTATGCGGATAGGTTATCTGTCTATGGACAGGCCGGACTTGCTTAGGACCGTCCGCGAGTTGGCGAAAGGGCTGAAACAACCTCAACAACACCATTGGGGTCTCTTGAAGAGAGCTGCAAGATATCTCCGAGGATCTCCTAGGCTGGTGCAATTGATTCCGTATCAAGAGCATTTCACAAGCATCAATGCTTGGTCCGACAGTGACCATGCTGGGTGTATCAAAACTAGGAAAAGCACGACTGGAACCGTGATCCAGCTCGGAGAAGCAACGGTGAAGACAGCAGCCAAGGGGCAAGCTGTGATTGCCCTGTCCACTGGAGAAGCAGAATACTATGGCTTGATATCAACAGCCTCAACCGCTTTGGGCGAGCAAGCGATGATGGCGGACTGGGGTGTAAAGCTGTCTGTCAACATAGCTATGGATGCCAGCGCGGGCATATCCATCGGCTCGCGACGAGGGCTGGGAAAGGTCAAGCACATTGACACCTGCTATCTGTGGGTGCAAGAAATAGTGGATCAAGGAAGAATACGCCTGAAGAAGGTCAACACGCAAGACATGCTGGCGGACCTCATGACGAAGCCTTTGGACGGCCAAACTGCTACGAAGCTATTGAGTCGGATGGGCTACACCGTCAGGTCTGGAAAGCATGAGCTGGCCTTAGGAAAGGCGTGAAGGAATACCCCAAAGAACTCGCAGGGAAAGCAAAGCGTGATCCCTACTCGGGAGGCGTGACTGGATTTGGGGTATAGTTTGGGTATGGGTCTCATGTACAGTTGTTTCACACTGACGTTACCTTTTGGCTCAAGTGCGCGGTTGCTAAAATAGCGTTTCAGTTTAGGGCTACAACAAGGACCTCCAACACAGCCTGCGCTGGAAGAGTAGAAGCGACAGCTCGAACAGCAGCTGTACTTGGAGCAGTTCAGACAGGCCGGTGTAATGGCGTTCAGAAATTGGTTACCGCCATGGTTCTTGTCATACATCTGGTGTCCTCGGTTGAAATGTCCGTGCTAAAGGTAAGGACAGAACCTGGTGGACACTACGCAGGCATCGGACAGTGCAGGATTCTCGTAGGAGATTGGCATCCCCGATTTACATCCGTAACTTGAGATACAGAATGACAGAATGTATGAGGACATAGCGAGTAATTAAGTGTTGACATGCAAGGCTAAATCAGTGGCGAAGTTGATGACCTTGCTGTGACATTCTGCCGCAAGAGTCTGACCGTGTTTGTCTTAATCAGATTTGGCACCTGATCCTCTATGGCTTCACCGTTGTATAGCTGATAGCAAGTCGTGTCGAATTTCCCCCCCCCCCACCCCCACCCCAGGTCCTAAACCCGACACCCTAAACCTTCATCCCTAAACTCCAGACCTTAGGGTTTAGGGTTTGAGCCGTCGAAGCCGATTTGAGTCTCAAGCTTCTTGGTCTTTGCGAAGTCTTCCCAAGCTGGCCATGGCTTTCCTCGACGGTCCCTCGGCCGAGAGACGGGAATGGTGAGGGTTTTAGCAAGGAAGGGTCATTTCCGAGTTCATATCACCTCACACCCCTATGGTTTGGTTTCGGTAGCGTCCGATTCGGTGATGCGGTCTCCTGGAAATCAAGTCCGATTTGCGCCCTAAACTAAGCCCTAAACCCAGGGTTGGGTTGGGGGCTGAAATGAAGGGTGCTCCAGGAATTAGC